CCCGTAGTTGGTGCTGTTGAACCTGACATCATTATACAGCATCGAGATGGTGGAGTCGTACAGGAATTACCACCTCCATATCGCGACAGAGTTGGTGTTCAGTCAATCAGATGACGTTTTGACCACGAGAATTTAATGTTTATTTTTATATACGTGTGCATGTCGCCCAGGTCTGTTATTGACGTCACAGCATTATTCGTACATACGTTTCATCTTTTGTATTCGTAACTTTACACCCAAACCCGCTAGTCGTACTGTATTTCAACTATCGTGCTTCGATTCGATCTAACATAGTACTGCAGAGCAAGGTTCTATCTGTACTCCACGATACATGTTGTTCTGCGCCTGGTGTTGTCTGCAAACAAAAAGCTGAACCTAACATTACTGTGTTTGCGCTCCGTATCCTCTGATTCCCTCAGCAAATGACCATGAGGTGTCGAGCTGGATAGACTCCGAAATGTTCACGCCGACACTGGTCACGGTGGCAATTTGGAACTAAGAAACAATGATCGCAGTTAGAGCTAGACTGTTTCAGGTATAAGCCGCCGGCGGCTCACTTTGTTCAAACTGCGTGCATCTCTGTAAAATAGGACCCGCATACTATCCTCAATGATTTTACGTGCTTCCTCCTCCGTTAGTACATCTTCTCTGCCTTCCACTGCCTTGCGCAGTAGTGGCTGAGCTATATATGCACCATACCCAGTAGCTAGGGTAGATGCAGAGTACGTAGTCCCTAGAAGGTCGACGTAGGAGAGGAATCTATATGAAAATCGTTTCTGCCTAATTCATGTCGACGATGTAACATAACAACTCACCTCTTTCCATCCTTATAGCCGCCAACAATCAGGGAATTCCACAAAGGGTTCATCTTGGATCTTCGTGCATACATGACATGCGACATGTACTCGTGGATTTCTGCAGGGCCGAGATTATGGCCATCCTGACAAGTAAATTCGTCGATCGACAGTTGCTCCAGCATGTGTTGTATATATTGAAAGTCGGACATGTCTCCTCCTGCACCGAGGACCGTATATTGGCCTACAGGATGTAGACGCTGAACATCCTTGAATCGTGCGAGTGAACCGTACGACGCTATATCCCATTATGATCGTAAGTCACGATAAGAACTCGCAGTTAGAACTGAATGCGAGGTTCACCGAGATTGTCTGCTGCCATCATAATTCCGTCCTTGTACTTGATAGCTAGCACACTCGTACCGGTAACGATAGGCTGCCTAGAAGATTATCTGAGGCATGTGTGATAGAATAGGATATGATATATGCTCACTGTGTCCGCTGTACAGCGTCAGCGAAAGCGTCTTGGTGACCATTGTATGGACGTTGAGGGATGGGGTGAGTGCCATACGCGTCGTAGGCGTCGTTTCTCTGCAATACATGTCAAAAACATAATATATAAAGACATTGAAATACATACCGGTCGTCCCCAGTTTGTAGGAAAGTGATCCATGGTTGTTTTGTGGAAGTGTGAAGAAAAGGAGCACGTACTCGTGACAGTCTGCCTTCACGTCTGAATGAACGCGCAAGCCAAGTGCGCGAATGGCGATTACGTAATCGTATCCAAAGTAGCAGCCTATAGAACTGAAAAATAATATCGTATCGCAGGACTATGGAAGTCATTTGAAAAAAAGCAGAGATCATCCCAAGATCATCCCATTTATTACAAGAAAATATACACTGGAATATTAAACGGCTTATGACCGGGATATGTTCTGATATTGTAGGCTAGCGCTCTCATACTCCGACAAAAACAACTGCTCTTTCTTTTGCACTAAAAACCTAAAGAATTGTTAATCGAAGAATATAAAATTGCAGGGAATGCACTGACAACAGTAATTCATTCACGTAATCTCGTACTATTCCTACAGATTCTGTATCCATCGTCGAGCTCGCCACCATTTGTGGGAGGCTCACTTGGAGCAAGTAAGTAAAGGACTTCCAACCAGTACCATATGATTAGACGTACCCATCATGCGAAGGAAGTGTTCTGCTCCGTAAATTGCACTCATTTCCTTCTCCTGACCCATCTGCACTTTGGGTCCAGTAACGTACTGCTTCCGTATCTCAGCGTACTGTGGTCGTTCGAATCGGTAAAGGAGATTTGCTCCCAGTGAGCGGTCGAAATAAACTTGTAGTCCAGATATTATCGTAGGTAAAACGACGTCAGGTTCCCGGAGGCTATGGGAATGTTTGTTTTTGTCAATAGTCAGTTGTAGCAGAACGTCAAAAACTTACTTATGTGCTTTATCCGAGGACATGACATGATCCTTGAATTCTTGTAGTATTTCGAGTACAGTGGGACTCCGAGGTAGCGAGACCAACTGTTCTCTTACTTCAGTTAAACACACATAGAGCATTTACTAGAAATGAGGAGGGCATGTACCTGATTATTCTTTGTCACTGCCTCCCAATCATCAACAAGCAAAACCTTGAGTATTTCTGGTACGTTCAGTTTCATGTCAGGTCGTTTGCTGCTGTCATCCTAGTAATGATAAGCACAACGACCCCCCGCAAAAGTAGAAGAAGAAAAAAAAGGGGGGGGGGGGGGGGGGGGGGGATGCATACCTCCTCTCGACCTCGTTTTGTCCCTCGTGATCCATCTTTCCTCCCTAGCCCACTTGATCGCGATGAACTACCGTCCTTGATCCCCCCACTCCCACCAGTATGCGACTTGTTTTTAGACGATGATGCCGCAGACGAATTGACGGCAGTGGCTTGTGCTTGCAGTGCTTTTTGCAGTGCGACGTTCGTTTCGTTGAACTTCAGAACACGTTGGATAGGGACCCATTCATCCCAGCTGAAGTGACGCAGATACTCCCTTTAGGCAACGAACAGCTTCCAATGAGAGGGACGCTCACGTTTGTTTCCAGCCCTTATAATGCACGAAAAAATGTGGGCCAACAGTACCCAGTTTCGTGTTCGATTCGTCCCATGTTTCTGTCTTGAGTATTTTCGCCTCGTATACCAGAGGCCCATGGTAGCAGAGTACACGCTCATTTGGAGAGTATGATATCGACATCACTACTACCAGTATATGCCAGATAATAATGCAGGGCTAAACTGGTGCAAAGCGGCCGCGTCGGTACTACTATCTCACTGCCAATGGTCGCATTCCAGGCTAGAGGTTATGTAATGAGGTTCCGTGTAATACTACAGTAAGAGAGTCTTTGAATACAAGGCAAGAGAAGAACAGCATATTTCTCCATGCATACAACATACATCATAACATACAGCACGGAACAGGACACATAAAAATGCACGAAAAAGCAGCTTCTTTACATCCAGGGAGACCCCTCTTTCACAACTCAAGGACCGGCCAAAGTGCCGATCATTCAAACGCAGTTCCCCCGAGTTCCTCACGTACAACGTGTGGATGCACGAGGCATGCACATCGACGAGATTTGGTGAAAATACAAAACAGTTTCCCATTTGGGTCCATCTATGAGCCTCGTTCAAAACATGTGCAGTAGCCTGGAAATAGAAGACTAACCTCATGGTATCTGAGACGTTATGGGCGGCCGATGTAGACCTAAAGGTTGGTGTAAAAAAATGCCCTAATCACATAAAGTGGTAATCCAAGCGTCATAGCGGCCTGATATCCTGACAGGGTCTGTATCGCAGTCTACGTAATTTTGCTGCATGGTCAATTGAAGGTCTCGACATCTAACGCTTGGTGAGGCTGTAGCCGCGTGTCCTAGTTCGGAACCTGTGAAAGAATATAAGTTGGAACCTTCAATATTCTTCTCGAACGTACCGTCGCTCTGCCTGTTTCATATTTTAACAAGTCATACATGTCACCGACGTGCATTGCACGCCTCACAGAACCTCTTCTTCACTTTTTCGTTTCCAAGAGTCCAATCATACACATTGTCGTAATCAATTCCCTTCTTTTTCGCTAAACCTCTGAATAAAGCCCGCAATCCATCATAGTCGGGAAGGTCTTCAAACTCGAGACCTCGTGCGTATTTATACAGTACATCGAATTCGATGGGCAGACCGACGGTGAGCAAGGACTCCACTTCAATTTTCTTGTCCCGTATCGCATCCCATGTTTCAGACACGGTGGATCCTTTTATCCTTCTCCAAGGAAGTGTGCCACGGATGAAATAAACAAGCATGTATGCAAGTGACTCCAGATCGTCTCGACGCGAGCATTCTAAGTAGAACGCTCAGGGTCAGTCCGAATAATGACGAAACAAGTATGCTTACCGATCCCACGATGAGTATTGATTGCAGCAAAAAGCGAGGTGCCAACGCCATGCTGATTGTCTTGTTTGTACGGAACATGCGAGCCGGTCCTGGGATCACGAAACTTTTTCGCAAGTCCAAAGTCAATGACATTCACTAGGTCAGTGGCTTTATCCGTGCCCATAACGAAGTTGGCAGGTTTCACATCGCGATGAACGAAATCTCGAGAATGAATGAATTCGATGCGTGATATCTACAGATGGTAAAAGAGAAATTAGGACGAAGAAGTCAAACGCAGTTATAGAGGCCCTTGGTAGCTTCAAGCAGCAATTTCCACACATGGGTGTGAGAAGACTTACAAGCTGGTCAGCCAACATCAACGTGGTCTTCAGTGTAAAATGCCGGTTGCACATTTTGAAAAGGTCCTCCAAGGATGGTCCCAATAGGTCGATGACCATGACATTGTAGTCACCCTGCTTTCCAGACCACATTATCCATGGAACGCCCGGACCCCCCATCAAAGTCTTGTAAATTCTTGACTCTTGTTTCAGTGGACTGTTTCTAGCTATCGCCGGCTCCAACTTGATGGCCACTTCCTTGCCAGCTATCGTATGCACACCAAGAAAGACAGTACCTTTTCCCAAGACATAAAGCGTGTCAGGGCAAAGGAGGATGAAAAGCGCGCGCATCCAACGTACCACATCCCCCAATGGCGATTTCTTCCTCGAGCCTATATTTTCCCCCAAATGTGAAATCCATGATGGCAATATCTACAGAAAGAAATGTCAATAGCGTGTCATAGTCATAATATGATATTTGCATACTAATTAGTGTGTTCAGCTGGTGATCGTGGCTTGCGACGCGAGAAGACAGGAGTGGGGAGAAGAGAGCACGCCTGGAGGCGGATGTGTGGCGCTTCATGTTGAAAAGCCCGCGTTAGGTAAGCATCGGCAAAGCGGCGGATAGTTTTCGCGGAGTTCCTTGGGTCGGAATTGCGGGATGTTGCCTATTGTTATCCTCCAAAGGTCTCAGTTTGCCGTTCATTCCAACAGTGCAGTTTTAATGGAACAATACTGTCGAGCTGACATTCGCGGCTCATTTATCTGTTCTCAGTGCGAGTGAAACTGTAGATATTCCTTATCTCTCTTAGATCATATCGCCGCGATGTATCGAAGCCAATCAAGCCACCAAAATGCTTATGGATATTGATTCAGAAGTCCCTTAGTATGGTCGTCCATTTTTGCAGCTCAAAAGCCGTTGGTAACTACTTGTTCAGGTCGAGACTCATCGCAGGGAAACACGCGTCAAATAATATGGATACATCAATCATCGATCATCGACCCCGTTGCCACCGGTATTCATCCTACGGCTTCTTATTCCTGCTCTCGCTGACCGCTTTCTCTATTCAAAGTTAACGCAGCCTGTTATAAGTTGATTATCGCTGAATTTATCGCCGAAAATGTACTCCTGAGGATCAACTTACTTCGATCTAGATTCATAGTGAGAGTACTACCTTTTGTATCAGAAAGAATAGGTTTGTTGTTGTCGTCCAAGGAACAAGAACATATTTTTGACAACTTTATCCTCTCTTTTAGCGGTAATTATTGAATTCTGTCCTCTAAGTGCAGTAAAATGGAATACTCTCGAGGTCGTGTGCATTACAGGACTACAGTCATGATGCTCTCGACATCACAAGTAGTGTGAGTGCTTTACTCAAAAGATATTTTGCTATTTTGCTCCTCTAAACGATTCTGCTGGAGTTTAACCATACTGTTTGCCTTCGTTTCGCTTGCTATGTGCGTTAGGTCACCGGCAGCGCCTCATCTCGTGGTAAGTGGTGAAGCATCACTACGGCAGGTGTATTTTAAGCTTACAACGTGCACGATAGCATCTCTTTTGCAGAGGTATGCCAGATATCGAAGTTTGAAACAACATGACCATTACGGTCGGACAATGTAGCGCTGAAGACCTACAGTTGTTCCCTTTCTAACGGAAAGATGGCGCCTGCTCGAGTTCTGGATATTTTTTCTCCACCCAAGGATCCATACACCTCGTGCAGCTGAAAATTGCGTTTATTTTCTCGTGGCACTCCCAATCCCCTTCCTCCTATCTCTGAGCATCGCAGTGCTATTTGCTATACAATTGAGATCTATTTTGGGGTAAATACCACGCGCATGTCCTTTTTCCGCATTTCAAGGACTATTGTATGGTACGTGTAACGTATGCTTTGTCAACCTCAGCCCTGAACCATTCGAATACTGCTGGAAAAATCTAGTAAATATAAACGTGACATTTTATTTGTTCAAGATCTTTTGACGTCTCTTTATAGTCAGTGATCGCTCGGAGCTCTGAAACGGTTTGTTTTCCTCCTGTGCAGCTTGTTGAATCAGTTGGATTATGCTTACCTCCCTCCAAAGCTTGGATAGTTGGGTATGCCATCCCTAATTGTTTGATCATAATATACTTATGATCGTATTAGTGTCGGTCACTCTTGAACAAATTCCAATGTCCTACTGAATGTACAGCCTTTCAGGCAAGTCAATGAGCGTTCATCTATCGATAAGAGTCTTATCATATTGACATGTTCAGATGTATATGGTATAATTGTTCTTGCAAATCATCATATCCCTTCTGCTGTTCCCGTTCAATGTGGCCTAACTTTAGAGATTTGTTGTATTCCTTGTCGATTCTAGCCAGTTTTCTAATAGCTAAGCGTAGTTCGGTTTTTGAATAGAGTCAAAACAAAGGCTCAGACATATCACAAGGTCCACGTATGCATTTGGAAGTGTTTCATTCTCCCAAACGGAACCTCAGAGTTCAAATCAGTAAACAGCCAGGAGAACTGAATGTGTGAACGGTTATCTCAATGGTCCGACCTATTTTCCGTTGATTCTCAGGTCTAGGCCGTCTAGAGCACACACGTTGCCCTTCTTTTTCTCTTGTTCATACAAAACGAAAAGGAACCGTGGCGGATAAACCATTCAAGTTTAAAGTCCAGCACCGCACCTAACAAGAGCATGTAACTTCTCTGTGCCGTTCTGTGAGCTTGAAAATCCTTAGAGAATGTCCATATTTCTTAGATCACTTCCTGAGGACATCTTGGAAGGTCTATTTCAGTCTAGGCAGGTCAAGACGATCGTACCTTTGAAAATTCCAGCATCGCCAGCAATGTCAAGTACGCCTACTGGTAGTGCTTACTGCGTTCGTTCGTCTAGAACTGGTATCCTGTATCCCAGATGCTAACCATTCAGCAGGAAGTCGATCCCTCCTGGCGATCTAGAGCGTCGAGTGCCTTTTTCTGAGTACTCGGGTCCTGCTGACCTGGCGCTCGGATAGTGGTATGTCTTTCCCAATACCTCACGCCTCTGGCATGGATGAACGTGACGCATCAAAGAGTTACAGGAACACGCAGTCATGACAAGGGAAGAACTTGAAACACCTTCAGCGCATCCATTATCCTGTGGATAGTGTTCTACTCATCAAGCTCCGAGTGAAACGAGCTAATCCTATGATATAGAAAGGAAAAACGCAATGTACCAGACTGCAGACATCTAATTGACTGGCCATGGACACTTGGCTCTAGTATCAGTACCAGTTATTCAAACTATTCCCGACTATCAATGTATCGCTGCAATCTCGATCTTCATTATCACAAGGACCCGAAGGTCCACTTCTCATGTCATGTCTGGCGGCGTTGGTGCGGTAGGTACATCTGCCAGCATTACACTGATGGCTCGAGAACGCAGGTACATGGCTTCCTTCCATTACGGATTTTTTTAGCTATATGGGCGGCCACGGCCCCTGGTCCAGTCTGGTTGATCTCATGCCTGTAAAGTCAAGCGCTTTGTTCTGCGTATAAATTCTACTCGGCATTCACAAAGTATTCAACTCACTGGAGTTATACATTTGCACTCGTGTTATCTAATATGTTCCCCGGAAATAAGGTCCAGCTCATGTCGGCAACTTTCTTGTTGGCTCTTTTGTCATCTCCTACGGTGGCAACTATCGCAGGTGAGATAATGGCTATATTTGAGATCAAAGTCTACAACTGACCCTATAATCTGCAGGCCGCTCAAGCGGAGAGGCTACCTGTGATGATGCCGAAGTGGTGAGCAGCACCACCATCTCGGTGAACGGCAAGGAAGTGGTCCATACCACCTATTCTTGCCCTTCCATCGCTCGCCGAGGTATTATATGTCGTCTCTGTTTGGTCTGATCCGCTAAACATAAAACAGCAACCAGGGACCTTCCGACCTATGTCTGTGGTCAACTTTGTAAGTATCTTGTATACAGCCGTGATGAATGTGTGTTTGACAAAAGGTACTATTTCAGGTGATTACGCATGCAGTGCCCCTGCCTCGAATCCGCTACCCCCAATCAGCGAGGATTGCGGCATGATTCAAGATGCAATTCTGCTGTATGCAGGAAGCATTGGTACGAATCGCTTGTATGCATAATGATACTTCTTACAGTTAAGCGTTATTATCAGATCCAACCTTCGTCGTTGATGCTGGTGGCATTGAACAATTGACTTACGGCACATGTATTTTCTACTTTGGGAATTTGAGTACGGAACCCATTGAGTATTGCTGGGACAACCTTGTATGTTATCCTTGCCTCATGCAGCAAATCATTTTTCTGATCTTTAATCATAAGTCTTCCACAGCATCCTCAGGCGAGACAGCTTGTTTCCCTCCTATTCAACCTGTCCAATCTTTGGCATTGTGTATCCCGTCTTCCGGTGCTTGGGAGGTTGGGTAGGTTGAGTATTTTTTTTGTTATAGTAATGTCATTGACACTTATCAACAGAGTGGGGCACTCTTGAGCATCTAGCATCTCTGAACAGTAAACTAACAAGTCAACTCGGAAAAGGGTCTCCAATTGGAATTTCGTTGTATATCACTAGAAGCCAGTTGATACAGTATGTACCGACGATGTCAATGGTTGCAGCTCTTGTGAAATTCACGAGTTATGGATCACTGTACACCGATCAACTGAAAGCCTGTGTTATTTAGTACCACACCATGAGTGTGAACTGTAAAGTTTATTCAAATCGTTGCTATCAGGTCAACTTCAAGCCACTTTTTTCTCTCCTTACCAATATGCCGTCCATGCTCGGTGCTAGTCTCCGAGGCAGGTCAGCAGCCACGCTCCCCGCAAGCGACGGATCAGTCTATTTCGAAACTAATGCGACGGAATGTCAGAATCACGGAGGCAATGCAGAATAGTCGGGAGAATTCAAGTGTGTACTGACGTGTATCTCCATCCAATCGCTTCCCTCCCTCGAAGCACATAGTCTAGGGCATACACCGGTACATTTCCACCCCGAGTCCTTGTTCACCAGGATCGAATAAACAAATTGAAGTTAAGAAGCTTCACTCAACTAGAACATTATGATAAGAGTTCGGTGTCCACAAGGAAGCTGAAAACCCTCAGAAAGTGTCCATCTCCGCACTGTTTACTGTCATCTTGGAAGCCTAAGAATGATCGTACCTCAAAGAATTCCTGCATGCCAACAATTCCAGGTACGCCAGCCTAGTGGGGTAGTGGGGATGCCTGCATTCTTTCATCCAGTAGAGCTGGTAACCATGTTCTATCTGCCGAGGCAACCTATCTGAGAGGGTAATAATGTTTCCTTCTGAGATTGAGAGTCACCAACGCTCGCATAATTGTGCCGCGCTGATCTAGGGCCCGTGCGGTATGTCCGTTTCTAGGCGTCTTCGACACGAATGTACCTGATGTATCAAGGAGTTACAGGAACACGCTGTAATGACAGCTTGAAGGAAAGAGCTTGAAACATCTTCATCATGCCACAATGGTTAATATCAGTTTTCCTTGTCAAGCTCAACGGGTTAATATTATCAAGCGGGAGGTCAAGGCCTGAGATGTGTTTATTATACTGTATATTGTCAGATGCCGCAGTGTTATTCCACATACCCAATCGCCTGAACGTGGAAGCTTAAACTCAACCTCAATATTGGTATGCAAATGAGGGCTCACTCAGTTTACCAGTGCAATCTCGATCTCGAACATCACATGGACCCGAAGGTCCACTTCTCATGTCATGTTCCACTGGCGGCATTGGTGCGGTAGGTACGTCTGTCTGTCACCATCATGATTACACCGATGGCCTGGGGCAACAGGTACATGTCTTCATTGACGGATTTCGCAAGTCTACAGCCCTGGTCTAGTCTTGTTGATCTCATGCCTATAAGTTCAAGCGCCTCCGTCCTGTGCGTATAAAATGTGGTGGGCTACCTCGTACGTTTAGCGGGAAATACAGCTCATAGAAGTAACAGACTAACATTCAAAACATTAGATATGCTCATCGGAAGTAAAATCCAACTCACGTCGGCCACCGTCTTGATGGCACTTGTGTCAGCCCGTACGGGGGCAACTATCTTAGGTGAGAAAGCGGCTATATTTGATTTGAAGTATAATTGACCTCATGTTCCTCAGGCCGCTCGAGCGGAGAGGCCATCTGCGATGGCGCCGAAGTTGTGAGCAGCACCACCATTTCGGTGAACGGCAAGGAAGTGGTCCATACCACCTATTCTTGCCCTTCCATCGCTCGTCGAGGTATTATATGTCGTCTCCTTGGGATCTGTCCCACTAAACCTAAACCAGCACCAACCGACCTTCCGACCTATGTGTGCGATCAACTTTGTATGATGTTTCATACGCTATCGTAATAAATGCGCTGACAATACTGTTCTGTCCCAGGTGATTACGTTTGCAGTGACCCCAATCCATTGCCGCCTATAACCGAGGATTGCGGTGTGATCCAAGACGCCATTCAGATATACGAAGGAAGCATCGGTATGTGTCGCTTTTATCCATAGTGTTGTATTCTGGAGGGGTCATCATTAGCTCCCACTTTTGTCGTCGATGCTAGCAGTATCGAGCAGTTGACTTACGGCACTTGTCGTTTCTTCTTCGAAAATTTGAGTTCGGCACCCCTCGAATATTGCTGGACCAGCCTCGTACGTTGTGACGTCCCTGATATGACCAGTTGTTATCCTGACGCATATTTGTCTGGTAGTCATCGATAGCATCCTCCGGTGAGACGGCGTGTTTCCCACCTGTTCAACCGGTCCAGTCTCAGGCATTATGCATTCCATCCACTGGTGCTTGGGAGGTTGGGTAAGTAATGGTTGGCGCTTATTTTATTTATGATATTGACTCTTCCCGATTGATAGAGTTGGACACTCTTAAGCGTCGAAAGTCTCGAGAGTCAAGACTGCTCAAAGTAACAATGTTAGCAAAGGTCTTGAAATAAAACATTTTATGCCAATAACGAGAGGTTGATACACTAGCTATGGTTACAGTTCCGTTTGAGACAAGGGATTTGGGTTGGCTATTTCTGCCACGACAACCGGGAGCCCCGTGCCAAGGTCTATAATATGTAATATGTATCAGGCAAAAATCGAATGCTGAAGATTAGTCTCCAGTCACCCACCACTTCCATTGAATTCATCTCTGCGCATTCGGTGGCGTTCCTCCAATTCTTGTAGATTTCTCTTCAAGTTTTCCATCCACTGATCAGCTTCTTTGAGGAACCTTTCGCATAGTGTGCAAGGATCTGCTTCATCAGGCTCTCGTGAGTTCTGCAGGCGCAGTCTCAATTTCTCCAAGCGTTCGCGTTCGCGTGCAAACATCGCCCCGTCAGGGTTTCCAGCGGAAGGGTCAATGGTAAGGGCTGTAGCGTCGGACATGATATGCGTGATGATGAATTGGGTTTGAGAACGAACGCTGCATCGTGATTCTGTTATATATTCAGCTAAAATAGTCAAAGCGTTATGTGGACCAATACACCAGGCGTGAATCAAAGCAACAAAAGCACTAGGAAAGAATAATGTTCATACTTCATGTGGCCAGATAGAGTGCTTGCTAACGCATAGTTACAATAAATGTGCGTATTGACAATAGCTGATGTGAGACATAGCACCTTCCGTACCCAGTTGACCCCGAACGACATTGCATAACCCAGGGTCACGGTTGACTTGCTTGAACAAAGGAATACCCTTGTAAAGACAATATTAACTCCGCTGGGCAAGTATTGAATGCGTCACGTATCAGCCCATGCTGGAGATTATATTAACTGACAAATTTATGAGTCAACTAAAACCGTCCGTCAGTCATTGAATGTGCTGATATGAAGAAGGTAAATACCTCAAAAATACGAGCATCGTGTATTCTTGCGCAAAAATATCTAACAAGAAGTTACAAGCTAGTGCTACGATAAGGAGGAAATAACAAATCGAATAAGAATAAGACTAACCAAACGAAACATCCGCATGCACGTTTACATGGAAAAAGGCACACATGATAATACAATGATATTTTAGATAGGCTTGATCTTGAAGTGCAGAGAGATGAGAGAAAATATGAGGCACTACAACCAAATTCAATACCCAAACGAACCAAGAGTGTAGGAATTCTGGTACCTTGAGATCCTGTACAAGATAATAAAAGACACGTAGTCCTTCTGGGTCCTCACTATCTTGAATGTCCACTAGAGAACCGATTTTTGCAGTCTTATGGAACATCAATAAGTGCCGACGGAACGTCAGCGATATCAAATACCTCGAATGCGATATGGTCATTCCCTATACGAATCTCTAGTTCCTGCTTCCCTACAATGTTTTTCTTGGGCCAGTTAGTGTCGTCCTCCCTGTAGTCACGAGTTAAAAATTGTATGCAGGAGACTCTGAGCGAACAAACTTTGTGATTTCACTTGCTCCGACTATTCGCTTCAATTCCTTGACAACCAAAGGACTAACCCACACTGTGGTGGATGAGCTTTCATCAAGACGACATCAACAAAAAGAATCAACTTACTCTCTTTGCGAATCAATGAGTCGTTTCGATAATTAGAGTTATTGGCATAACGCAGACGGCCATGAGAATATTCGAATTCCAAAAACTCGTGTCCATGTTTGCCCGAATGGCCAGTGCTAGATGTCGACAAAACGATCAAACACTTGGAACTCATGACAAGAAATGCCTTACTAATATCTAAAACAGAATGTATGAACACATAACGTATACAATACAATTTGAGCGAAACTCACCTCAGATAAAAAGGGTCATTGTCGTGAGACATGGCTGATGATAATGTTGGATGTTGCTTCAAGACGCAAAGTCGTGGTTGGATTCTTGGAATGCGGCAGAAAAGTAGTCGGCAGTTGCCGGACCCTGACCCTAGCTTTTTTGTTTTCAGAGTCCATCCAGCGGAACTATAGTCTCAACTGCAGTCAATCATGCTAGGTCTGCTCGCTCAGCCTAGTCGTAGGATTCTTCCAGTGGCAGCAAGATGGGCACGCTTTAACAGCAGCCATATTTCGTATGTCGATGTCGTGTCATATATGCGACGTATCTAAATCACTTATTTAGAACCGAAGGAGCCCAATCAGTACCACCAGCCCAAGTTGAACCGCAACAGCCTATTCCATTCACTGAAGCGGACTATGCGTCAACTATTATTCATGGACGAAGTCTCTACCCTCCATATTATCATCCCCGAACGCACAACATTCCCGTTGCATTAATTCACTTCCGGTCATACCACCCTCTGTTCCTCGACCTATTCGTACATTTTGCCGGCCATGCAGCAGGCGCTCTATCTATCCCTGTCTCACGTCCTATCTATCTTCCCACTCAGCGTTCCATGTGGACAGTCCCTCGTGGCCCGTTTGCTCACAAAAAATCGCAAGAGAACTTTGAGCGCAAAGTTCACAAACGTGCTATTAAAGCATGGGATGCGGACCCAGAGGTGATAGAACGGTGGGTAAAGTACTTGCAACGGCATACAATGGCTGGTGTAGGGATGAGAGTGACAAAATGGAAGAGAGCACCCATGGACATAGGCGCTCGGATGCTTCAGGACGCAATGGGTCAGCTAAGGCTCGACACAGACGCGCAAAAAGTGAAGGCTTTGGGAGAACAGATCAGCCAAAAAGAGCTTGCTGTCGCGGAGGACCCGAGGGCTACTTTGACATCATCTCCTGATGTTAAACCATGATGCATACCGTTCTTCACATTTTATTGTACACGACCCACGTCTAATAGAGTGGATTTACTGCCAAGTTTCACGAGCTTCATGCTCCGATTTGCTGAAATTACTCTGGTGCCATAAACGTTCCAGTACGTGCCGACTATCCATGTTACACACACTCTCCGCTATCAGGGAATGTCACTTCAGTGTCATGTACATATGCGCAGTGATCTGATGATGTATCAGGCAGTCTGCATAATGATGGCGCAACAAAAACGGTGGCTTGAGGCTGACTCAAATACTTGAAATATACTACTAGAAACTGCTAACCTTAATCTCTATTTTTCGAACTGTTTTTCCACATATTGTCGAATGGTAGCAATGAGCTCTCGTTTCACCGCCAACGGCATTGTTGCTTCAGGGCCCAAGAACAGCGTTCAACCGTTACTCTCTTAAGTGGGACACAAACTCACTTTGCACTTGCGGCGAAATTTCTTCTAAGAGCGACTGGAAAGTTGGAGCATCTACAGATCTGGCATGCTCTGAACGAAAGCGCATAGTACGCAAATGTGATCGGGAGCGTACTACACTGGTATGACACACCTTTAGCACGATGTCTCAGGTCGTCTGTCCATCCACTTTCATTCAACTTTGCATTTAGAAGTCGTAACATCCTGTCATTCGTGTGAAGGTATGTATAATTTAAACAACATTGATACTAGAGAGAAAGACGAACCGGTCCCATTCGCCACTTTCGACCAGTCTTCGCTGGACCTGAGAGTATAAGACATTCGAATCGATCTCAGCCTTGGTCATGAGGCTAAGAGGAAAGTCACAAAATAGTATTTAATCCAACTAGCAGGTCAGTGTACGAACATGCCGGCACTTGATTTCCGTATTACATAATCAGCTTCTTCTGACTTATAATCATTTACTTATATATGTAAAGGCTTTACATTGAAAAGTTAGTTTAACATTAATTCCTTGCATTGTGCTGCACGTCAAGATTCAGCAAATGCACCACTGGGAAATTGTACATTGATATACACAAATACATATACACAGACAGCCCACCGTAGTGAGAACGTATGGACAGTGACGAACTGGAAAAGCAATTTAAAAGAAAAACAGTCACAAGATTATGCTATGCATCAAGCTGCATCAGACGGTGATAGGTATGATCTTCAAGGTAATAATCTCCTTCTCCGGGTAATGTAGAGCCTTGGTGGCATATTGCTGCGTGTTTCCACCTAGGGCGCGTCAAAAGCGCTCTTAAAGAAATAAGGCAGTCGCATACCAAAAGATCTCCTTAACCTGTTGAACATTCATAAAGCAAATGTGACATCGAACGTAGACTGAGCATACCTTTACTTCGACGTCTTTGACGCCTTCTACAGCAATCCATTTGGAACATTTGTGGCATTTGCCTTCCAAGATGTGAGTTCGCTCGAGTTTCCCAGGAGATCGCCGCGCGCTAACTCGAAATGCAACGGGCGGGGAGAAGGGACGTGCAGTCATTGCAGATATGCCTGTGGATCATGACATAAAGATTTAGTTGTTAGACTACGCGCTGTGCCTACCATGACTGTATTGCATATGATAACTAGAACGGGTGAAAAGATAAGTAATGGTACAGAATGGCATAACATCGCTCTGCGATAAGTCAGTAAAAACGGCTAGCGGCTAAAGATTGACCTATTCGTTTGACGAACCACTTAAAAGCAGAGAACTTCATGGACAACCACAATTTTTGGCCTTCACCTCCTCGTGAACGACTTTCGACGCAAATGGGACACAGACCAACTTTAGTTCGACCCCTACCTTTCACAAAGCGAGGAGTGTAGAGATCGAAAGGATCGCGAGGTGCGTTATATAAGCCCCCTGGATGTCTGGAATTTGAACAAAGAAAAGATCTGCAGAATTCTAAATTAGTCATCCAGTACACATGATAAAACGTACTTTTCGAGTTGTAAATAGGAGCTAGCAGGAAAACGCCTATAAAATAGAGGAAATTGAGAGGATGGTTGTATATCAGGAGGGAGTTTACGGAGAATAGTGACAGCAGGCCCGTCAGCGACTATATCGCAGGAGAATATTCCAGGAAGGGATTGCATCTCAGTGCTAGAAGTATCTATTGATCGAGGGGACGAGATTCGAGCCTTCTTCGTGTTAAAGAGAGCCACGGAGGATCCGATTACTGACGATGTTCTTTTGCGAGTCTTGACACCTGTAATCAGAGGTTTTTCTACGACGCCTTGTTGGTCAAAGAGTTGACCCAAATTCTTGCGCGTTTTTGTTTCAGAGTGGAGCCGGGAACGAGTCGAATATCCATGGCTTATTTCTGCAAGTCTACGAGTCGTGGCTTCGGGGTAGCAGTCAGATGTTTGCACAAGAAAATCGAATTGCTCCGGAGAGGACAAAGGCGTTAGTGTCGAGGCGGTAGTAAACGGAGACATCGATCCCCTGGCGCTCAAAAGACCATTGATATGAATATTGCGAGATGAGGCCCTGTGCGAACCAGATGTATGGCAGGGAGTTGATGGAAGCTCGACCCCGAAGGGATTGGAACGGGATTGGTGAGCCGTCGAGATTGGATCGAATAATATCTGGTCAGTATCATACGAGATCTGCTTTGGTCCAGAAGTAACTTGCGGCGATTCCCGGAACCGTGTTGAAGGGCTTGTAAACGTATTTCTAGCAATCGGGGAACTATTAGCCTCGGAAACATTCCAGTCGCTCGATAAGGACGAGAGGAATCGGTCCACAAAAGCGGGGCTAGATAAATCCTTGAGTTGAGGTGAGAAATCTGCATAAAGTAACTCGGGGCTCTTCTTCGAGGGGGGGCTCGGAGATAATATCATTTGCAAATCGGCCAGGCGGCGACTAGAAATGCCAGGAGTGACAGGTAGTGCAGACGAAGCCGAAGCCGAAGAGGGATACAGATAAGCACCGGAGACCCGAGTTTCAGATACCAATGCAAGAGGTTCAAGAGGAGACGAAGAGGTAGACGAAGAAGGAGCAGATCGAACGACCGCATCAGCTGCAGAGAACGTGGAAAGAGAGAATACATGACTATATGCGCGCGACGACGAAACGCTGACCCATTCGATGGGATCTTCGTCCTTTGTAGATACTATCCTATCGCTCATGGTGCGAAGACGCCCACTAGATGGATGGCTAGTTCAAACAAAATATAGTTTAGTAGGCATAGATCAATGATTGAATAATTTAGCCATGCACAGTTCGCATCTCTTGAGGTTCGTCTTCATGTTACCGTCTTGCGATATAGATGATATCCTATAGATATTACGATTACTTGGCAGCTTGGTAGCACAGTAGTAGCACCACACAACTTAAGAAAGAGCAAAGCTTGAGGAAGACGAACAGGGGCAACGAAAGAGCCTGAGCGCGTTCATATGAGTCGCATCGTTTGTATTTGTCCGTATTTATTTAACCGTGATTCAAGCTCCGATATACCTGGAATAGTCGGTCAACAGGAGCTGGTTTGAACGTGGATCATGATTCTGCTACATTTTCTATCTCTCCTCTATGCCTTCTTCCACCTATCTCTTTTGGTGAGAGCATCAGCATTAACGACTGCCATATCTGCAAACGAAAGACTTTGTTTCTATGCCGATGTCGACAAGACAGGAGAAAAGATTGGCGTGAGCATTTCTATGCTGACTCTCATTCAGTCTTCTGTTAACAAATTTCGCTAGTTTTACTTTGCAGTATGTCGAGTTTCTATAGGAAGGGTCTTGTCTCACTGTGCTTAGGTACAATCTGGAGGCTCGTTTGACATCGACTTCGACATTAAAGACCCTAACGACAAAGTAATACTCGACGGCACTCGTGAGCGCCAAGGAGACTATGTCCTAACAGCGAACACCGTCGGAGAATACTCGTTCTGCTTCGAAAACGATATGTCGACGCTCACGGAAAAGTTGGTCGACTTTGATATTATGGTGGAGACCGAACCCCGGAGGGAAGCCCCTGCGAAGGCAGGCCAGGTTTCTGACCACACTAGTGCTCTAGAAGAGAGCATTTTTAGACTAAACGGAAACCTTTTGAACATCAAACGAACACAAAAATAGTATGTTCTATTCTGTATACCTTGCTATTATTTAGCTAATTGTAATGGGGCAGTTTCCACACTCGAGAAAACAGAGGTTTTTCCCTGGTGAAGTCGACCCAAAGGTTAGTTTAGTCTTCCGTTTTATAGTTAGTTCTGGCTAATTTGCGTCTCTTTTCCAGTCGTCTGTTTTGGTATGCCGTCTTCGAAAGCTTGGGGGTCATTGGTATGGCGGTGTAAGTAATTTTCTGTTATTTTTACGTGATTAAATGCTGAATCGCCATGCATCAGGCTCCAAGTCTATATTCTCCAAACTTTTTTCACGAAGACTGGCCGGCGATACAAGGTTTAAATAGTCACTGTTGTATTACTGGAGAGCTGTTAATGGACATGGTATACCATAATTTTTCTGTCACGACACGAAAGGTGTCCTTGAATGTATCGCTACTATGTGAGTATGATTGACGAATCCAAGGAATAACGAATAGAAAACTTGGCATACTAATTGACTTGGCGTACTTTAACGGTGGTCTGAGAAAACCGATTTTTTCAGCCTCACCATAGTGGACTGACCGTCCACTATAGTTGGGCGCCTCAGGTGGCTCTAAAGCAGTCTCCACCAGGAAGTCACATAGCACGCACAACACACATGGTTGACAGCTTTTGTCTAGTAGCACCTCAACGTCTTTCATCTTTTCATTAACAAAATCTGTGTCAGTCCAACCAAGAGCCACAGCATGGAAACACTCAACTGTTGGGTCTACGGTGAAGATGTTGAAAGGATCTTTACTGTCAACATCTCAAGTTCAGAGACTGTCTACGACCAAGAACAAGAACTTGCGTAGCACGTGATCCATGATAACTACCAAGGGACTGGGGTATGGCGGAGTTGCGGCCACCACACACGCGCACCGTCTTTCATCTTTTCATTCAGTCCAGCCAAGTGCCACAACATGGAAAAGCTCAACTGTTGGGTCTACGGTGAAGATGTTGAAAACATCTTTCCTGTCAACATCTCAAGTTCAGAGACTGTCTACGACCTCAAAGAAGTCATCAAGAACGAGAGGTTTGTCACGTTCCGCGATGTGGAGGCGACGAATCTCGATCTCTACTCCATTTGCCTTCCTGACGATGAGCAACTGGAAGGCAAACTTAGTCGGTGGGATCATTCAAAGGAAATGAAGCTCACCACACGATCCAAATTATCAACCCTTTTCCCCAAGTCTAAGGAAGGGGTGTGGTTCATCATCGTCCGTGCATCCAGTTCTTGTACGCATTTATCACTGTATGCTATTACCCTTCTGACGGCAAACTTTATGACTCAGATTCACGCACAATTGAACTCCCTGTTGTGGTCCCAGACTTGACTCTTAACTGCTGGGTGCGCAGTGACCCAATCGGCGCCATCTTTATTGTCAGGGTCTCAAGTTCAGAGAATGTCTACGACCTCAAAAAAGTCATCAAGAGCAAGAACTCCTTCCAGTTCCGCGATATCGATCTCTACAAAGTTTCCTTTCCATATGAAGGACATGATTCCCTTAAAGGTGTGCTCAGCAATCTCACCAGTCCCAGTCTGGAAAATCCTCTGGAGGCGGGGCAGCAGTTGTCAGATGTTTTTACGCAACCGCCTGCCAGAAACCAACTTCACCTTATCATTGGTATGTGGCACTTGCAATTCCAACTCAACCTCAACGATGATGATCATTCTCTTCACATTACCAGACGTGCTTTCCGTTGAATGTTGGATTCGAGGGGCAGATCTTGCGGGTTGCTTTCAAGTCACAATACCAGCGAAGGCCGGTATTCGCGATCTCAACACTTCGATCAAGGCGGCATACAGTGGTATTATATCCTTTGCTCGCTTCAGAGTTTACAAGATTACAGCAAACAACGATGACGAGCTCCACGAGATTCTTGGTGCTACAGGATCGGGTCAAATGCTGCAAGGGACTGTGATTCTGAAGGAGGTCTTCGATGACGTCCCTTTTCTTCAGATGCCACGTGTTGTCGTCGAGCTACTCGATGAAAGTAAGCGAAAAATATGACGGTATTGACTCGTACTCACTCAAGCTTAACGAAACCTCCCCCACTGTCTTATCATCACATAGGGAATGACGATCCGATCACGACTGCGCGCAAGGCATTCCTAACATCCACTCCGAAGGAGAGGTCTTCAAACACTGGCACCCCATCTACATTTCGGACACGACAACATGATCCACAACGACTTCAATCTATGCCCTGTGGTCGTCCCCGCGAATATGAAGAAACTATCCCTGTAACCCTCTTACATCCTGTCTTTGGCCAGTTTCTTGATGACTGTCAGACTATTGATATAACAGCTGAGGACAACAGTTTCATTGAGCACCTCGCGACAGCCATGTCGGCCTTGTATGGCGACGAGAGTGAACGGGTCGAAGCTGTTGGCAAGGTATTTCAAAACTACCGCTTCCAGTTTACCATCACCAACACGAAGCCCGCTGGATACCTGACGAATGCAGAAATGCAAGTCAATGGACATCGTTATGTGATTGCCGAATTCAAAAACGAAACCGGGAGTACATCAACTGAGCCGTATTTCCAAGCCATAGGATACTACCTAGACTCGACGAGAGAATACGCTCTCAAATTCAGCAGGTCCCCTTTGCCATGCCTCCTTCTCACCATTTTCGGTTCGTCCTCGCGTCCTCTACTGGTTCTATGGCGAGCTAATTGGTTCTTTCTGCAGGGCCATATATGGTGTTTGCCGGTGCCGCATGGAACTTGCGTCCAACGGTACAAATCTTGTCAACACCTATTGCGTTTCACTTTCATTCCACCGATATCCACAATCGACTTACTGTGGCACGTCACATGGCCGCTTTTCGCAAAGCTGCCGAAAGGCTGAATGAATATTACGAAAACCTGACAGAAACACCTCTTCTTACTTCCGCACCGGTCCCCCCTCATATGTTCGCGTACTCAACGAGTTACAGATCGCTTCACAGCAATACTTTGAAAAATTTCCGGTACGTGACAGAACTGGACTCTGACAAGCTCGTCTTCTCCGGAACTGAAGACGAAGGCGATCATATATGTATCAAATTCGTTCAAACTTATTCGTGCGATGTCCATAATCACTTTGTATCTTTGGGATGTGCCCCAGCCTTGCGAGGGTTCGAAAAGATCGCCGGTGGCTGGTTCATGGTGGTCATGGACATGCTCCCTGACGACTTTGAGATGCTGAGTGCCCGCACGGGACGGCTCCCCCTTTCTGTCTTCACCGATATATCCGCAAAACTGGAAAGTCTTCACGAAGCTGGTTATGTCCATGGCGATATTCGCGATGCGAATATTATGGTGTCCAAGACTGACGAGACACGGTTCATGATCATCGACTTCGACTGGGCGGGCAGCGCTGGAGAGGCGCGATATCCAGCTTGCGTCAATTACATGGATATAGTAAGGCCACAAGAAGCTCGCGACGGGAAAAAGATCTTGAGGGACCACGACAATTTTATGCTCCAAGTCGTAAAAAGATGGAACTTCATGGATTAGGTATATTTTATTTGTATCATGATGTAGCAAAACCGTCATGCTGAATGGCGTCTATTCTATATGGTTTTTGTAATTCAGTAAAGGTTCGGGCTAGAAATGATAGCGATTTCGATAAAATTATCTCATGTCTCCCTAGTGCTGAACCTACAATGTGGGGTGGGTAGATGCATTGAAGCGTCTATGTGATTAAGGCAGATCATTGCGTATGTTGCGCATTGTAGGTTTTGATCTGAATGTACTGGAGAGCACATGTTACCGTATACATCATGAATCTTAATCTAACGCGCGCTGGTAGGAGAAAGAGCATAGCACAGACTAGGAATTGGTCTGGTTTCCACTACCGTTCGATACATTCATTGTTCGATATAATTTTGAATTTATAATAACTTGAGCCAATGGGAATCATGCATGTTACAGTAATATCATCGAGCAAGGACATGGTATAGTGCAGTCATATTGTTATAACTCGTAAATATAGCTTATCATAGCCGGTTCACAGAAAACATGGCTCATCAGTACGCTCCTTGCGACCCCCGTCCTCTCTGGGTGGGTTCGCAAAGATGCTGCAACCAGTTTTAATGACCGTACGAAAGCGACAGAAATTCACCGCAAACTTACGTTGAATCTCATCGCGTGCACTAAGCCTCTACTATATGTTTGCTGACTGCAGTCGTATCCATATCTACAAACGTTCAGTTATGATCGGACCACTCTGGGTGATGGGTTTGGCATGTAAACGCACTAGCAACCTTCCTAGATTGTCACCCCGTCTATAATATGAAATATAAATATAAGAGGATTCAGATAGTATGGTTTCGATATCACCAGTAGCAATAAACATACCTCTACGTTAACGGTTGAGCCACCAACGAAGTACAGTATCTCTGAATAGCTCGGTAAGACAATCATAGCAAACCCAGTCTTGCTTAGACAAGTTCAAGTATGGATCCTTCTTGCTGTCGAACATTTCATCCATCAAGATAGCATAATCTATGTTGCGCAAAGTCTGATTGAGTTGTTTGTCCGACTAGTTTTGCAGCACTTTCCGGGGAACGTGAAACTGCAAGTCAGCAATAATACATCCTCTCAGATAGTCCCAATCTGCGCAGACCTAGTCATGGAATGATGGCAGCTACGTTCAAATTAACGCACTGGTTTCGTTATATAAATTGACGCCTTGTTTTATGCCCGGAAGCCATTGATAATCAGATGAGCATTGCCGACCTGTCAACAAAATATAAGGATAATGGATTCCTAGCGCAATAACCACTAACTTACACTTATCATTCTCTCCATTTACACGATCCAAGATGAGCTTCTCTAAATCTTTTCCGTACGGTTCATTGGTCACCTGACGTTCTGTGTATGGTTCTTTCAATGGCCCCGTAAGAAACTTCTCGTAGGGTCCATCATCATTAAGATAGCCCAGTTGTAATGGTTCTGTGCTCATTTCCTCGTAACATTGAAGGACGGCACGTGGACCAGCAAAGTGATACAACCCTTCGAAGTCGTCTGCAGTGATTTGTTATATGATGGAATGAAGTAGGATTAGACGTGGATACAAACGGACTTCTAAAGAGCCAATGAGCTTTCCTTTGGCAACAAGTGCCCAACTTGCGATTTCTTGAAGGAAGCCAACCTCCTGATTTGGTCCAAAGCTTTCGTCATGAATTGCTTCAAGAAAGCCTTCTGTTTCGCTTGACATTCCATAAGATCTGAGTACTCGCAGTTCTCGGTAATCGGTATGACTGGGACGCTTCCCATCCCATACAAGTAGGTCAACAGCCAAACGCGATACACGACGCGCTGAAAGCGCCAGGATTCGACGAACGAAAGCTCACTGGTCCACGATGTTCAATCCTTACGTCTGTTATGCACGCCACATAAGATCTGCATAAAACACGGTCAATCCAAATCTTACAAAGAGGCACGCCCAAACTGTACCTCCAACTGAACAAGTCTTCCAAAGCATTCAGAACTTGTGCATTAGCACTGAGCAAGCGCTGCTCTTCGCGAGCGATGCCCTTGTCCATAGTATCGTTCTCAACCGAGAGCTCTTCTAGCTTGTGTTGTTGCATACTAACATATATATCACCCAGAGATCCCGCAAGCTACTATAAGTCAGGTATACGTTGGCAGTCACGTGCTTACTATTACCGATATTAGGTAAGCGCTTCTTCCAGAGGTATAAATTTTCTTTTTCTCTCTTTTCAACTTTTGCAGCTCTCAAGCCGCGATATACACGACATCCTGCTCAATCATCAAAGGTATCTGACAGTGAGTATCAAATACTTTTCATGAGCTTCCGCTCCATATTTGTGATGATTTCATTGCTGTGCACCAGACCGAGTGCTTTTGCGCGTTGAGGATAACCTTCCCAGTCCCTCTTATACTATACGCTTGAGGGTCCTGACCATTTCGCTTTGACTGTTTTTGCGTATTTGTTTTATAAATAACTGACCAGCTCTTAAATTTCAGCTCTTTTGTGGCACATCAGATAGCTCGATGATTGTCTTAGTTGTACAGTGATTCTTCTGAATGATAGACAGTTCTCTGTAATTCTTTTTATGTCATGTATACTATTAGAAATCACGATGTTTTGATTTTCATGTGAACAGACTTCGCTCTTGTCAATTGATCATAACCTGGAAAGACAAGAATATAGTCAGAAATGAAACTAAAGTCACAGAGATCATAAAGGTGAGAGCTCACCGAATTTACTCAAACTGATACCACGTCCACTGTTTTTTACGCCTGTCCAAGCAAGAGCGGGATCGAGGAAATCGCACCTACGAACAATTTTTTTAGTTGGATTTTATCCATAAGGAACCGAGTGTCAAATACATATTCGATCATTCGATCACATACCTGTTGAGAAACACTGTCCCGGCTTGCAGTTCATCTGTGATACGGAGGAAAGCAGCTTCGGATTCAGCATTGGCTTCTGCATTCGTCCATATGGATGCCGTCAGGCCATAGGGCGAATCGTTCATAAGGCGAATGGCTTCATCGTCGGACGAGACCTGTCAAGCCTTTTCAGCAAACACGACCACGGTAGACGTAATTTGTTCGCATACCTTTTGAATACCGACCACTGGCCCGAATGTTTCTTCCTATAGCAACATTTAGCTCAGTATGAATAGCAATGGGTTGTGGTCAGATGTACCATCATAACATCCATGGCTATGATACCTTGGCAGTCAGCGAATATACGAATAAGCATATAGAGGTCGACACGTACAGTGATCCACGTCAATCAGCACTTGAGGCGCAACATATGCTGTGTTACTGGATTCTCTTCACAAAATGACTATAGACAAACATTGGTACAGACTTACGGCTGGGCAATTGGGAAAAGGTCCTCTGGGATGAGAGCCTTTGCACCTGCTTTCACTAGAATATACATGCGTAAACTGAGCAGAATTAAAGAGACGAAAGGCCACGAACCAGCATCAGCGATTTGTTTGCGAATCTTCTGTGCGCTTGCGAGACTGACAACGGGGCCGAGATTGGTTTCTGGTAAAGTGGGATCGTCTAGCTTATATTTCTGGACAAAAGACTGGTTAGTGATTATCACACCACACCCTTGTTGTGCATACCTTGACGATATCAGCATACTTCGTGACAAACTGATCGTAAAGTGATTCGTGGACGTAAATTCGCTGTATAAAGAGCGGTGTAAGTACCATTCAAAAAGAAAGACCGGGTTCGTAAGTTCACCTCGATTGCACAACAACTTTGTCCAGAGTTGAACATCGCTCCTATAGAAAGATATGAGAACTCGTCTCGGCACCTGACAAAAACAAACGAACCATCAACAAGCTCTGCTACTGTGTAGTCGACATCAGCATCTTCACGGACGTAAGCAGGATCTTTTCCTCCGAGCTACCAAAAATGAAGGTCAACACGAAAGGAACAGCATTCAATGCAACTCACTTCGAGGGCAACACCCTTAAACCCTTTAGATTCTACGGCTGCTTGCTCTATCGATTGGCCTGCGCTGACGCTCCCAGTAAAGGAGATAAAATCCACAAGTGAATGTTGTACAACGTATTTCGTCAAAGGAGGTGAGAGATGTAAGACCTGAATGATTCCCTTGGGCACACCGGCCCGTGTGAGAGCAAGAGCAAATCGTTCAGCAGTGAGGGGGGTCTGAGGAGAGGGCTTTAGGAGGACAGCATTTCCCGCGATTATAGCGGGAAGGACCGCGTTGACGGAGACTAGATAGGGGAAACTAGATGTATGTCAGGGAGAGGGCAGACATGATTCATTGAAGGATATTCACTTCCAAGGACAGACGACGAAAACAACACCTAAAGGAGTACGTTTGATATATCTTCTGAAGCCAGGCTTATCTGTATTTTTGAGCGACACGTCCGCAAGACTGGACTCTGCGATTGACAACATGTAATCGGCGCGATCGAGAAATCCACGAACTTCTCCTGGGACTTGGCTCACTGGCCTGCAGATACGAGATTCAGATTGATGAAGAACGGATAAACTTTGTGATAGCTTACCGACCCATCTGGACAGTGAGCTCCATAGGAACTTCATCGCTCATTTTCCTGAACTCATCCTGCCTCGCGCAGTGCATCAGATAATTGCCATCATTATGTATGAAGTAGGAAAGAGCTCACTATAAATCTCCTTCCAATTGCAATTCTCTCCGGAAGAGCAACACGGCTCCATTCTCTCTGAGCCTGAGCAGACTCCTTGATTACATCGTTCAGCTCATTTTCAGTAGGATATTTGCGAGTCACGATAGGTTGCTGGTTGTGGGGGCTAATGGTAGTTTGAATCTCTGAGTCGAACATGGCCGTAACTTGAAGGTAGTTGAAGCTGAGTACGGTCCTGGATAAAGCTGTCAGAGATCAGAAGCTTTACTAGTACTAATCGATAGGACGGAGAAGCCACTTACAAAGCCTATCTTATCTAAAAATGTATTGGTTTGATAAGCAATCACTGCAATGCTGGAGAGAACAGATATTGATAGCTATAATGTTTCTAGCTCGCTCCGACATTTTATACATTCACAATTATCTACGAGACGTATACATGAAATGTCCAGACCTCACTGTCGCTTTGCACAACCTTATATTCAAAGCAGGCACATATGTAAGGATAGGAAAAAGATGGCGAAGCGAGACAAGGGGGCATAACAGAAAGATCATAAAGAGTCGTGCATCAACGAAGAGGAACCTCAGTGGTCGCGAGACTTTCTAGTGCAAACCCTATCTATAAGCCATTCCTTGATCATAGATATTACTAGTCCTTACCTGTACTCTCCCTCGGCAGCAACACTTAGCTCTTCGATCTCACCCTGTACGGAAGAGAGTGCTTCCGCGGCAGAAGCAAAGTATAGAAGCTGAGGGGAAAATATGTGAGTGACCAGACACATGTGATAGATCAACAAGGACGAACTTGGGCTTTGGCAAGTTCATTTAGATTCTTGACAGGCTCAGGCTAGATAATTTTGGTTAAGAAAAAAAAAAAAGAAACAAATGTAAGCGCTGATAGACATACGTTATCAAGCACAGCCTTCATGAGAGTGATAGCCACCTCCGTCTTCTGCACAAGGTCGTCTTCGGCGTTCTCCACTTCCAACCTTGCCTGTTCTTGCTTCGTGGGGTTGGCGTTCTTCAACCTATATTTCAGCGAGTTAGGAAATTTGGTTAAGGGAGCTTCATGACAACGCTTACGATTGTTTTGCGGCATCCAACTCCAGTCTGCTCACACGCACGGCTTGGCGAGCCCGCATGGCAACATTGATATGCGTGGACAAAGTAGTTTGCCACGGTTGCAAATACTGCTTTTGAATGGAGTCATCTTGTTGTAGGCGGGCGGAAGCGATTTTGTCCCAGACACCAGCATACAGACCAAGTGCTTTCCCAAGTTTGTCGTCAGAGCCCACAGGGGTCCCTTGAATAGCGGTCGTTGCATTCGTGGCTGCACGGCCAAGTGCGTGTGGAAGAGTCTTGTGCTGTACGACCTGAGGTGCAACTGGTGAAGGAGCGGGAAGGTTGGTGCCTTTGAGGTTGGTGGCAGCAAAGTTTGTGATACCCTGGCCGATTGTAGTGGAGAGTTCAGCAATAGACTCTTGTATCTGAGTAGGGTAATCATAAGACTCGGTTTCATATGCCTTGGTTACTCTGTAAACGTCATCTGGTAAGACTGAGGTCTGTGAGCGCCAGAGATAGTCACATACTTGAGCAAAGCAAGGTGGGCTGAACGCAACGCATCGACACGAGTCTCAAGGTCCTTGTACTCTGGAGGTATACATGAGTAAAATGACGCTTTTCTACGACAAATACATACCCTGAGGCAGCTCGGTGATTTCGTCCGGAGCAACTTGACCGAGACGCTCTCTGGTAGCTTGTATACCAGAGTTAAAGCCTTTAGCCAGCTTGTTGGCTGACTGCCCAATGTTCATGCTAGATAAACTGGACTGCAACTTGTTCCAACCGTCCATATTGACGTTCTTTGGTGGTGAAAGGATAAGTTAAAGAATGGTTGAAGGGCTGCGGTGACCAGTGTTGTCGGGTACAGTCGCTGTGGCGGGGATATTGCATTATCGAAGGGAACAGTGTTCGGGGTCCATGTCGCTGGCGTAGTGCGCGACGCGTATGTGTGCCATCCTCTGAGCTTGTAAGTTATCTCAAACCACGAAAGCCCAAATGGCCTCAGCATCCATGTATCGTTCTCCAGGATTTGACTTTTCGAATACGCTACGGTAAGTTTGGTAAATCTGTGTTCACCATCTGCGTTTGTTCACGTCTAGGCAGTAATGACTTCCTGGCAGAGAAGGGGCTCCCAGTGCCGAAAGCAACCAGCACCGGTACAACGATCGTGGGCTGTCTGTTCAAGGATGGCATCGTGCTTGGTGCAGATACGCGTGCGACAGGAGGCCCTATCGTAATGGACAAGAACTGTGAAAAGGTGCGCATACTTTGATTTATTCGCCATAAACAACACCACGCTCAGATCAAAATCACAGATTCACTACATCACAGAATCCATTCGTTGCTGTGGTGCAGGTACTGCTGCAGATACCGAATTTACTACCGCTCTTATCTCATCGAACATGGAGCTGCACGGCCTGTCGACCGGTAGAAAGCCTAAGGTTGTAACTGCAATGACAATGTTAAAGCAGATGTTATTCCGGTCAGTGGCTCTGGTTAAACTTGTCTTCGATCACTCAAATTTGTCGTATAGATACCAGGGTCAAATAGGTGCTGCTCTTGTGCTCGGAGGAGTCGATGCTACAGGACCTCATCTGTTCACCATCCACCCACACGGGTCAACTGACAAACTACCATACGTGACCATGGGTTCTGGTAGTTTGGCAGCCATGGCCGTCTTTGAAAGCGGCTGGAAGCCAGACATGGAGGTAATGTGTTATATATCGTAAATGGACGCGATTGGCTCACACTGTCTTCAGCGAGAGGACGCTCTCAAACTCGTAACAGCTGCGATCTCTGCTGGTATTTTCAACGATCTTGGTTCTGGTTCCAATGTGGACGCCTGCGTCATAACGGCATCTCATACAGAGATGCTACGAAACTTTGTCAAGCCAAACGAGCGAGTAGAGAAAGAAAGAAAGTACAAATTCCGAAGAGGAACCACTGCCTGGAAAACTGAGAATGTTCGCAACCTTGTAGTCAGTGAAGAGATCACGCCTATAGTAGGAGGGGACGCAATGGATATCAGCTAGATTATCTGTACCACTTTTCTTGTACTCATCAACCAAATGCATTTATCCATCAAATATTTTTCCATTGTGCTGTTATATGTGTATGCTGAACATGTATACGACCGCATCAAGAATGATTACATGTAAGGTTCCTTTGTCTGAGCTGGTTACAATGTGTCTAGAAAGAAGACAAAAAAAGGAGAGAGAATGTGTACAGTAACTTGTACAGTGATGATACTTAAATAACAAATTCAGATACAGCTGGACCATGGATGGTCGGAATTCATAAATGATACGAATGCGTCTTGCTTCTAAAAAAATCAAGACTTGCTCATTGGAGCGTCTGCAGCTGGAGAGATCACAGCAACTAACACAGATATATCTGATAACAGTCCGATATAAGCATCCTGTGGTACTTGCAAGAGTCCTAATGGTGACTCACCATCGATTTTGCCACCTCGGAAAGAGCGACCCTGCTCTCGTGCTCGCCTAGCGAAAGGTACTTCGTCGTCGAAACTCGAAGGCGATCCGCATGATGTCCCTCTTCGCTCTGATACGCGGCGTGCTCGAGAGCATAGAGCCTCACTGAGCATCCCTGCGAGCGATCGACGTCCAAGTAGTCCCTGCGACATATTCACAACATCCTGTTGCTTCCGTGCTCCACTCTTCGAACTGAGAAATGATCGCTTGAAGCGAACGACCTCATCTAAAACTTCTTCATCCCATAGATTATCGCTCAATCCATCGCTAGCTAGGATGAGAATATCATCTGCCTGAACAGGAAGAGTCAGTATCTGTGCATCTTTTGGCCGTGCTGACGAGCTTGGGCCAAGTTGAACGGGGGTATTGAACTATTGGATCAGTATCGCGTCAGTCAAGGACTAGGCATGGAAGGACAAATCTTACACTCCACCACATTTCTTCACTTCTCCAAACAACTTCCTCATCCCTTACAAGCATACCCATACAATCACCCAAGTGTGCAATCTTGAGCACAGCATCGTGGGTCGTTATGCCCACAGGAATGTCCGCGGCTGGATGCGGCGACGATGATCTTTGAGGCTTGTGTGGAGCATGCTCAAGGACAGCGAGCAACGCAGTAGACGATCCAGCCATCAAAGGGATAAATTCGGGCGAATTCTGTAGTGGGTGAGAAACAGGGGGAGAACTTGGAGGCACATTGCTGGAACCACTGGATGGTATATGGGATTGTTGTTGGAACATGGTAACTGATGGTGAAGAGGGTGATGAAGACGAAATTTGGCTGGAAAGATGGGATGTGGCAGTGGATGGGATTGGTCTTGTGTCGTTTGTCTTGGGTTCTCGTACGACATGGGCCTTGATAGTGCTCTCATATGCTCGTTCTAAGATCATCAACACATCAAGCCCTTCCTCTAACTCTTCCAGAGAGTCCTCTTGCTCTTCCTCCATTTCTTCGATATCTGTGTCCCAAGACCAAGGACTATAAAAGTGGGCCTTACTCCCATATTGTTTATTGGATGCCGACAAAGGAGGTTTCGGAAACGCCGTCGACATGGGCGCTTTAACTGTTGACTCCACTTGACAAGCAGAGACAGCTTGATCGGTCTCTGCCGAACAGTGATGCATTAAACGGCGAGCAAACAAAGCACTCGCAGAGGGATCTGAGGGTGTATACTTGGCAGTATGATCTAAAGTTTCGATCACGCTTCTGAGTTTCATATCTCCAGGAGAGCACATCACAACATACCAAAGTTCTTGGCCTTTGACCAGCCACCGACACCGTCCGCTACACCCATAGCGTTGTCCCTGATAAAATAAGCATCTTCCCCAACTTGGACTGCTAAAGTCAAGTCTTCCGACTGTCCCCCCTGAAACAGCTTTCCACGCCCCAAGCTTGAGCCGCAATAACCATCTCTGCCAGCGACAGCTTGGCCACTCGCACGCTTTGGTATGCCATAAGCACCGACGTCGAGATGATATCTCATCCGCTGCCGCTTCGTCCGAGGATGGGCATCGGCATGGTCGGCGGTGGCAACATTGTAGAATGGCATAGGCGCAAACGAGGAAAGCGGGAAGAACCCAGATGACTGATATGAAGCCGGCGCATGTGGAGGTGAAGACCCTGGCTGTGGTGATGTCAGCGCCAAAGAAAAAGGAAGTGGGCCTGATGATTGGCCTTGAGCATGGGGAGCATTTTGTGGGTGTGTCCCAGACGAATGGGATTGGCCTTCGCCCTCGCCCTTTACGGGCAGGCGAGATGTAGATAATATATGTGGGTTTCCAGGCCGAGAACTGGGTGGGGGTGGAGGAGGAGTATCGAAAAAAGAGAGTGGGCCAGAAGATGAATTTGCGGTGTAGAGTGTGCGCTGTGATGATACAGAGTTGGAACGGACTCTGGAAATCGAGGAGGACGATGTGGAAGAGTTCGAAGACGATGCTACAGCACGGGGTAACGCAGTGTAAATGCGCTTTTGAATCGTCTTCATCGTCGGCCCCGGTGCGCTCATGATTACTATATTACAGGATGAGCCTTGCTCAGCGTGGGTGACGGTGTGAAGATATAAAAGAAAACAGAGCTGAACGTCGACAACGACGACGGCGAGCAACGGGCGTGGTGGGCAGTGTGGGGTTAGCAGAGAAAAGCGATATGAAGTATCTGCCACAGTTGGCCGTCTTACCCGGAGACACCCGGACCAGTCGCACAAGTCCAGCGTCCGATGCTAGCCGATGGTCCCGCACCACTAAGCGACTACTTCCGTGCACCTGCTTTCAGTCACTCCATTGGCCATCCTAAGCAAGCCATATGCACAGCACTGGGTTCAAGTAATAAAAAATAGTAAAAATCCTCGTTACAGTGTTCGATAAAGGCTTAGTTTACGAGGTCCCGTTAGCACCATTAGTCACTTGAGTCAGCGCTGCATCCGCCTCTTGCAAGTCTCGCTCACTCAAACTCTTGAAAATATCCCCTCCACCCGGTGTGCTCGTTCCAGACCTCGAGCTTGCACGTGAACGCACTTTCATCGAAAGTGGGCTAGGTACAATATAAAGGGTCAGCAGGTTCAATTTACAGACGAAAAATGGTAAGAGCGCTTACAAAGGATACCCGTCCTCTTCATCCTCAGCGGACCGTGGCCAATTATACCCACGATAGTCACTCGTTCCAAGACTCTGCATCTGATAAGAGACAATCAGCTGCTTCCCATCCGAACAAATAAAGCAACTCTAATTACCTCTTCCGTAAGTGTCCCAAGGTCGCCTGGAGTCGCCATGCCGGACATCATTCTCAGTCTTGGACTTGCTGGCATTGACGTGGGAATAACACGTTCGATACCTCCACCAAAGTCAAAATCATCCTCTCCTTCACCATCGAAAGAATCCGGATACGCCCGCCTTAACGCCAACTGACGTGCCTTGGAGTACTCCACACCAAGATTTTTCCAATCCAGCAAAGGACTCAGCCGCTCCACTCGGTTGCGCTGGTTTATACGCTGCCGACGTGTCTTGTTGCAGAAAGTGAACATGTGTTCAGTTAGCTGGTTTACCGAGTCTTCAACAGACTGCATGCGGCGGTCTACAATGTAGCAACCCTCTTCTTGAGGGCGCTCGATCAAGTCTTGCATGAAGCAGCCAAAGCCTGATAGATTGGTTGTCACCGAAGGAATGCCCATCTAGCTCAATGTAAGACGCGTAAGTCGGAAGAGTGTGAATGGCAACGAACCACTGTGCATTCTGCAGGAGTGTAGCCCCACGGCTCATAGTAACTTGGAAATACACCTAGATGACATCCTCTCACGAATTCTTCATAGTCAAGTCCGAGAATAGGGTTGTTGGAATTCAAGAAGTCAGGATGGAAAACAATCTTCACCCGATCAGAAGCATTATTGAATAGCTTGACACGCCGGATTTGGTTCAAGATTGGGTCGTTAGAATCATCAGCCATGTTGTGTGTGACGATGGGTGGTAAGGAATTGCGCTTCAGAGCGAATATGCGACGTTTGAGCAGTATTTGGTCCTCTTCTGACAGAAGATCTTCTGGCGCAAAGTCTGATCGATTTTCACTGTTGCTTCAAGATCAGATGTGCTGACAGGAGATAAAAATAGGGGCGCACCCATGAAACCGCGCAGCGTTGTCGAAAAGACGTGCACCGACTCGATTCTGAATTTCGGTGACTGTGTCACGAAGCTGCTTCATGACAGCTTGACCTTTTAGTGCTTCAACAGTATAAGATTGCGTTGATGCTGGCATAATGATGAACGCAACAACAGTGGTTTTTGTTCCAGAAGCTTGGAGGCGATAATTCAATCCTGAATGGCAATGAAAACTGCAACGATAACATGAGTTAAAGATGAGTGTACTTACGAGCTAGAGATTCAATAAACATATCAACACCCTTGTTCCGATATTCATAACGTCCAGCAGTGAACATCTGGAAAGAGTCAGCTAGAACATCGTGATTTTGAGTAACCTGGAAACATACATATAAAGTTTCATCCAAATCAAAATTGTAGTGTCCATAGAAGTGTCCACGTATAAATTCGTTGATTTTAGCTTTAGCATTGGCGTGTAGATTCTGAAACTCGTGTATGGCCTGGAACTTGACGACGTTAAGACCATTCGGGAGCACTCCATCTGGCTTGCGTTTGAGCAGATGCTCGGATTCATACGCAGTGATGTGAGAGACAGTCGTAAAGACGTCAGCACAATGAGCAGCAGAGCGCTCGATACAGTAACGGTGATAGATTCCACGTTTTCCAGCTTCATGGTCGACATCAAAATACTGCAGGTTGTTATAGAAATCTACGCTGCCTGCGCAGAGATAACGACCAAGAAGGGTTGCGTGGGTTGTGAACACGGTGGTGACGTCAATGTGCCTTTTACGGCACAGGGGAATAGCGAGACCAGCCTGCCACTCGTGAAAGTGTGCGACGACCGCGGTATGAAGCTGACGCGATACATACTGAAAATTCGCGTTTTTCGATGTGAAAATTAAAATGCCGAACGAAAACAGAGACGTACCTCTCCCAAGAACCATGCAACGAGATAGCCAAAGGCAATGGCTTCGTTAGTTTCGTGGTCATTTGGGGGCGAAGGGATACCTGCTAAATTCCAGAGGTCGCCTTTCCACTCATCGAGGCGGTGATATTGACTGCCAGTATCGAAGAGAAGGACATGGGGAGCACCTTCGATGAGCCATCGACCATAGAGAGCCTTTACGCCTTGGGAGCGCATATGCGCTAGGGCGGCAGCGAAGGCTGGATCAGCCGGTTCCTGGGCCTCGACCTCCATTGGAGCGGTCTTGTAGATAAGAGGGCCTATGAGACAATATCTGTCACCATACTCTTGGACGGTGACGGGCACTTTGGTCTTGATGACAGTGTATATCCCTCCAACCTTGTTTGCAACCTCCCAAGCACACTCGAAGAGTAAAGCATTTTTTACGTCTCGTTTTTCTTCGGACATCACTAAATGTTAGAAAGACTCAAAGAGATGAGAGAAAGATGAGGGAGATAAGGAAAGGAGAGCGCTCAGGTGAAGAGAGAGAGCGAGATAAAAAGGGCAAGGGACGATTGGGACTGGGAGGTGTCACTTGAACGTTGACCTCATAGGGCCGCACGTGGGCAGAAACAGGGAATTACCTAACATGGTAACTATTCTAATAATCGCGCTCCACTGCAGTCAGAACTACAACCCAAACCGTATAGCCCTCGCCCGTATTGAGACAGACGCCCCATCGATTGCAGTATGGCGCAGATGTCGCCTCAGGCCAGGCGCGCCACCACCAGCGCCGTCAGCGTAGACGAGATCAGATTGACCTGGACGTCAATATCGATCATCACCGCATTCAATATCTCCCTCAAGAACGGCATTCGTACCTGGTTGTTAGTCAACAAATTCAGTCCACTTATATCTTTGATATCATCCTCGCCACACAGCGCAGAATCATCTTGCAGAACCCGTTTAGACGTCACAGAATACCGCGATTTCTGAAGCGTGGCGCCCAAGAAGGAGTCCAGCTAGACAAACATATCTCGTCATCTGAACTTCTCCGTCAGATCCGCGGCGTCAGACTCACCATAGATCCCATTCCTCCTGCCATTGTTCCCCACAGCACCAGAGGTACAAGGATGTCACCCCAGACTTGTCTACACTTGCTGTTTTCTAGCACAAGGCTCGCAAAGAGCACGAAACCCATGGAAAGTCCTCCAGCCATAGACGCTATCGTACCGCCCAGCGAAATACCTCCATTTGTACCGTGGGGGACTGTTTTGAGCGTGGTAATCAGAATCGGAGGAGAATTCGACAGGATTCCTAGCTCAGAGGCAAGAGTATCACCCAAACAACACGCGAAGTGTCTGAGATCATGGTCAATCATGTCAGCACTGTCTGAACGCTCGCTGAAGCTCTGAAGCACGTACCCCAACGTGCTAAACAATAAGGCACGACTCAGTCCATTCGTGACATCGGGTGAAAGGGGACACCAGCTGTCAGAGTCGTATCTTGTTGCTTCAGGAACACTGACAAACTGGCGAATGATGGACCACGGAAGCACGTTGGGTGCATATAGTATACCCCATGCTGCAGCAGCTAGAAAAGCTGTAAACGAGTTGCACAACACCTGCCAGGCTGTTCGATATCCTGCTGCTTGGTAGCCATCCTCGAGGGTAGCCTTTCTCTTCTTGCCGTCTGTGAAATAGATGAGCCCAAAAATACACGTGTGAATGACCTTTGCCTGTACATACATTTGGTGGCCCTCGATCCTAGCAAGTAGAAGACTATTAATGATATGCCAATGGCTCGGACGGGAGCTGCTAGTGTCAGAAAACCAACAGTGAATGCGGCTGCAGCGCCTGACGGGGACAGTGAACGCGACCTTAGACCATGCAAGCTAAGAGCTGTCGCAAATCCTAAGGGTACAATGGGGATCGTCGACCAAGACATGATTTTATGCAAGTCAACAGAGTCACGGTAGAGAGCAAGTTCTATGTAAGTACAATTATTCTGTCGATCAGTTTCACACGAGCGCTACAATATTAGATTCAGAGTAACGAGAAGAGGCTGTTCTGCTAGTGGTCAGTTCCGCAATTTGGATATGTAGGACCACATCAAAGCTTCAGCAGCAGCGCCATCTACCATGTGCAGATGTACTGTAAGCACCACAAAGCAGTCCAATGCTTCGACCGCTAACAAGAAATTCAGAAAGGTAAACGTCGATTTTCGTATGAGATATAGCTCAAAAGTACATTAAAATTTGATTTCAAACTATTCCTCACGGCAGATCGTGACCTTCATGCGAGGCTCCTGCTAGATGGCGTCGTATATATTTTGTAGTCTATCCACCAATTTTTTTTTTGTCTCAGTGTACTCCATAGGGAGCATATCTGCGAGCAAGGTGGGCCAAATCGCAGTCTATTTGGTGGGCTCCATTTAATCGACTTCGTTCAATGCCTTTTCGCCTGTGATATCCCATTTACCAAAGTAAAGACTAGACCAAACGCGTTAACGGTGTAGACAAAAAAGCATAATCGAGACATACTCAAAGATAGCCATCATGGACCATTTTCGGTTATCTGCTTCGGGGAAGACAAGCGATCGAGGCCCATACATAACCTTCGAAAACCAACGTGTTTAGTTTAAAGTCAAAATGAGATCAGTTTTCATGACGCACCTCATCATCTACTTCATTCTTTTTCCGAGGGAGGCAATGCATAAACTTCCAGTTGGGATTAGCTCCACCTTCGCGACAGAGTTTTTCAGTGACTTGATAGCCTGCAAAATCCCTGAGACGTTGCTCCTTTTCCGCTTCTTGGCCCATGGAGATCCTGTAATTCATAATTAGCATTGTGTGGTATAAAAGAGCAGGATATGTAGCTTACCATGTATCGGTGACTACAACATCTGCTCCATGAACAGCTTCGAGAGGATTGTTTGTCCAGTGGATACCTTTGTCGCACCCCAATTGCGTTACGCGGTCCCAGACCGCTGGAGGACACTGGTACATTGCCTGTGGAGGTGTCGCTACTCGCATTTTGTGTCCTAGTCGAGGATATGTAACAAGCATATCGTGCAGGACGTTGCAAGAGTCTCCAACCCAAGCTATGGTCAATGGACGCACTGCGGCCAAGGGCTTGTTGGCAGCTGGCGCTGCCGTAGGGTCCGATTCGAATAGGTGGGCATGTTCATGTAAGGTCAACATATCCGCCAACGTCTGAGTGGGATGCCAAAGGGAAGAAAGTGCGTTGACAACTGGGACGGGTGAATACTTTGCTAATTCCTGGATGGGGTGCATGTCTTTCAGTTGATGCTGTGACTACTATACGGAATAAATACCTCGATCTCCTCGTGTTCTCCAACTCGGGCGAATATCCCTTGACACATACCGCCGATGACGCGAGCCGTATCTCTGAGGGTCTCGTTCTCGCCAAGCTGAATGTCGTCGCGACCGAGAAACAGAGAACGTCCACCAAGAAGGACGGAGGCGGTTTCAGCAGAAACCCGAGTACGGGTGCTTCGCTTTGAGAAGATGAGTGCTATAGACTTGTTGAACAGGGACTGCGAAGGCATCCGAAGACCTTGACGGCTGCCCTTTTTGCCAGCCCTCTGGGGCTCAAGCCAAGGGAGAGAGACTTGCTTGAGGTAGTGTGCATGACTGACAATGCGAGATATTTGGGGTGCTGTGAGGTCTGCCAACGTCTTCAAATGAGGAACAACGGCCATTCTGACTGTCTACAAAAAAAACAAACGTGTGAGTCACGCAATGAGTGAGCTGGGAGTTGGGTTACCTTGGGTATGACTCAAGGCTTATAAGGACTCTGGGGATGTCTGCTGACTCGAATTTTTAAATCAAAAACATAACGTAAACTACGGTTGAGTATTAGGCGGGATCCACCTGGTCAAAAAATACTATAAATGCTAACTGAAGTCCATCTAAGCTCCCCTGCATCAGACCGTCAATTGCGGCTGCGATTAATTGGTAGACATTTGTAAGAAGCTTTCTTTTGGTAGTAAGTCCCTGCCCAAGCAGTGGCCACAAAGTCTGGTTAGGGTTTACGGCATAGGATTGCCGATCAGTCCCGCCTCTTTTTCGGAGTGGCATTTTGTACTCCGCGTATCGACTCCCTAGGCCGTGGACAACGTCGAGCTCGACGTCCTTGACATTTTCCTCAGATATAACGACCTTTGTCTTGACATAACATTGTCACAATTCACCTCGACATAGATCTCAGCTAATCGTGTTCTGAGCTTCTCTTTTCCGACGTGGGAGACCCATCATTTGGTAGTCATGTCTGCAAGCCAAACACCCTCGTTGACCCCTTCACGGTCACCGTCGCCAGAACCACCAGTACAGCCAGATCATTTCTTTGGCTCAGATGCCAGCAATCTTTCCCCATCCCCCAGCTCAGATGAAAAACCATGGCTTGACCCTACTGACGACCCTTTAGCACACCGTGGAATTCCCGTTTTCAAACCCTCAATGGACGAGTTTGCAGACTTTGAAGGATTCATGACGAAGATCGAATGCTGGGGACTGCGGAGCGGTATCGTCAAAGTCATCCCGCCCAAAGAGTGGTCAGTTCCTGTTGATAATTGTTTACGAAAGGCGCCAGTAGTCAATGATGATACAGGACCGATGCATTGCCGTCCTTAAAGGAGCAATTAGCTAATGTCAAGATAAAGTCACCCATCGAGCAACATATGCTGGGTCGTGGTGGTTTGTTTCGGCAGGAGAACATTGAGAAACGTCGTATAATGAGTGTACGAGAGTGGGCAGAGCTATGTGAAAAAGATGACCTCCGCGCGCCTGGGGTGGAGGATGTTGGGTTACACGCAAGAAGCTCTCAACCCAAGGCGAAGGTCCCAAAGCGCGCCCGGAAGAAAGCAGATACAAGCAAAGCTGAAAGTGTCGAGCGAGACGGGGACGATTTTTCTGTTAAGGAGGAGCAAGATGCAGAAACTACGGGCGAGGTTATTCGATTTGATTCCCTACCAGCGTCACCACCAACAAGTATACTCATCTCGCGGTCTACTGTTCCTATAGTTGCTAATAGAGAACATGAAGAAGCCCAGGAACTTGAACCTCAGACCAACAGCGCACAACCTGCTGAACAGGTTGATCCTAACGTCCCATCCACGCCGGGGGTCGAGGAACCACAAACTGAAGAACAGCAGAAGTCGAAACCGAAACGTCCTGGTCAGAGTCGTGAAGTAAGGGAGGCCCATCTTGCTGAACGTGCTGCCCGAGATGTCGCATTCTTGGAGGCATTCAATCCGCAGAGCGACTGGTTGCCTGCTCGCACTTCGAATAACGATTATACGCCAGAATTTTGTCAGAAACTCGAGAGGCAATATTGGCGTAATTGTGGCTTGGGCAAGCCTGCTTGGTACGGAGCTGACACCCAAGGTATGTTTATATGCTCGTTCATGTTGAGTTTTACTGAAATTGCGATATAGGGTCACTGTACACCGACCAGACAAAGGTCTGGAATGTTGCCCATCTTCCGTCGTTGTTATCCCGGATACTCCCAGCCTCATCCAAAGGTTTACCAGGAGTCAACACTCCCTACCTCTATTTTGGCATGTGGCGCGCAACTTTTGCATGGCATGTCGAAGATATGGATCTGTTTAGTATCAATTATATACATTTCGGTGCACCGAAATTCTGGTATGCCATGCCTCAAGGCCGTGCAGGGGCTCTTGAACAGACCATGAAAGGTACGCTATTCTGTTTTTGCGCTGGTTTATTGGACCTTGTTCAACCATATGACAGGATACTTTCCGAAGGATATTTCCCAGTGCCCACAATTCTTGCGTCATAAATCTTTCCTTGCCTCTCCTACCCTTCTTGCGCAATCATCCTGTCGACCAAATATACTGGTTCAGAAGGCCGGAGAGTTCGTTATCACGTTCCCGCGAGGCTACCATGCCGGATTCAACCTTGGATTCAACTGTGCTGAGAGTGTCAATTTCGCACTAGATAGTTGGCTGGACCTGGGCAGGAAAGCAAAAGCTTGTCATTGTATCAGTGATAGGTAAAATGATTTCATATGATCCGATCTTCGGATATTGACATTTTAATGATTATCCTAGTGTCCGTATTGATGTCGATCAACTATTACTCGATAGGAAAGCCGAACGAGAAGCACAAGCGAAGAACAAGGATGCGGAGACTGCGCAAAAACGGAAGAGAGCAGCCAAACGGAAAGCTGATGGTCAAGGTAGCGGTGCTCAGACTAAACGAGCGAAGACAAAAGATGGGGCGCAGGGTAACTCACCAGGCTCGTCGGCAGGTCCATCTGGTCACAAGTTTTCTGTGACACTTAAACTTGGGCCTAAACCTGCTGATGTGGAGCAATTTCCTTGTTGTCTATGTGTATCTCCATCTCAAGAGAGTTTGTTGAGGGTGCACGATTCACCTATGGGAAGGAGAGAACTCCCTGAATCTTTAATCTCGCTTGGTCCCGATCAATGGATGGCACATGAAGAGTGTGCAAGAGTTGTCCCGGAAACGTGGGTAGACGAAATTGAAGTCGGAGACGTACGTGAGGATGGCACACGAGCGAAGGAGAAGGTCATATTCGGAGTGGACGCCATAGTTAAAGACCGTTGGAATCTGGTACACTTTTTTCTTTATCGTGCTGATTTACTAGTAGCTAATATCGTCCACAGAAATGTTCCGCTTGTTCAAGAACACGTTACAAGGCCCATGGAGCTCCTATACAGTGTACGAAAGGAAAATGTGCTAAATCCTTTCACGTGTCTTGTGCAAGAGATGGTCTTCCAACTGGTATTGTCTACTCAGTTCTTCGCGAAGTGGAGAAAGAGGTGGTTCTTATGGATTCAAATACCAGTCCAGCGGTTGAGGTTCAGCCCCAAAACACCGCAAACCTCGGGCAGGCAGCTGTTCTTCCTGGAGACCCCATACAAGTTGATCTAGCGCAAGTACTATGCGATGACTCCAATGGGACCCCTGCTCCTCGTATTCTGAAGGTAATCAAGAAGTTAGAAGTGCAGGTGTTGTGTACACAGCATAATCCTGTGGGTATACTCCCTTTTGCTATCTGAAGAAGTGGGAGTCTAATATAATGCTAGGCCGTTGCTGCTGCGAAGAAAGCATCAAAGCAAGACAAGATTCGCAATGAGCTTTTTGCGCTTCCTTCTATGACCAGAATCAAGATTCGCGTAAGTGCAGGGGTTTTCGAGGTCTCTCTTGTACGTGTGATCGAAGAGTCTAAGTCTGTGGAAGTGCTATGGGACAGGGGCGTCAAGCGTGAATTTAAATGGGGCAGTGTGGTGTTTGGACAGACAGATGAACAAAATATCCAACAGAAACCTTCAGAACCCGCCCCCGAGCCAGAACGTAAGTCTGAGCCTTTAATCTTTGTGTTGGATAATCTCAATGTCTATGGCCTTTAAAAGCATCCCAGCTGGCAACTACCCCACAAGTCTCTTTTCCTCCAACATCATCGCTTCCTACAATGTCGCATCCTACCGCCCCGCCTTCCACCGTCCCTCTGACAAGCACATTTCAAGCTCCCATTTCAACTCACTACTCGGCTCCTCAACACTCATACGGTTATATGTCAGGAAACTGGCCATATCAATACCCGGTCCCCCAACATCCCTCTGCGACGCAGCCCAGCTCGACGCAATACACTCCTGCATATGCGTACCCAAGTTATTATCATCATCCCGCATCAGTTGTATCTCCATACTCGCAGCATAATGGCTACAGTTACGCACCTCATTATCGTTCACAACTGCAATGGCAGCAGCCATACACTGGACCCCGGCTTAATCCTGACAATCCAATGCTACCGCACGAGGCTTCACCTCCGCAAAACGAACCTCAGCCTCAATCCATGTCGGGGCCCTCATAACCAATTACATCCACTGGTTCACCGCCGATATTTTCGTTAGGCAGCCCACGTTGGTCCCGCAACAACCAGTGGCAGGGAGGGGCACATGAATGTCAAGAAGTTGTATTATTATAAAACTGGACCCTGGTTCTTTAATGTTCTCCTTTCATTATCTTAGCAGAATACATGATCGCTTGTACATGTATGATGTCCGTAGTTTTGATAGCGAAATTGCTTGCTACTTCCATGTGAGCGCGACATGGTCGTCACGTGATAAATATAATTTACCGCGATTACTACATAGCACCGTGACAAATTATTGCCATTGAACTTGTTCTGCGACATCTCAACCAGTGAATGGCCAGCAACCCATTAACTTGAAATGTGGCTTATAAGTGGGCCATTTGATGGGGAGCAAGGCGACGTGACCACAAGGAGTACGTTGCTTTCTTTCCCAGTCTTAGCAGTGTCTTGACGATTCCAGAGACGAAGCTCCTGAAAACCGGCAAGAAGTACTCTCTTGGACGAAAGGAACAGCCGCTCGTTATAAACAACAAGAAGATATCTCGTGAACATGTGAAGTTTACTGTAGGAACATATCTACAGGAGAATATGGTGTGTTTGAGTTATGAACCACAGGTTATCATTGGACTTGGCACTCAATGTCGCTGGATGATTCTCTGTTAGGACGACGTGTCATTCATCCCAAAATTGAACGTTTTCAATGCAAAGAAAACGATATTGAATATTATTCGCGACACTGAGACTATTGTCGTAAATCCTACCGAGAGCTACGAGCTACAGGACGGTGATGCTGTACATGTTTTAGGAGGACTACCCGTGGAGTTGAGTTCCTTCTCGGATTTCTGGCTGCACATCACAGATCTAATAGATTTGTGCAGAGTTCGTTGGCACAGGGTCACATGTTTTCAAGCTCCAGCTCGGGGAAAGGCTTCTGTTTCTGTAGATGCCGCTGCCGCAGTTGGTGAGTGACGAACATTGTCATTGAAGCGGCAATAATTGATATTTGTTACAGGGATTGGTCTTCTGAATACACCTAACTCTTCTATTACTCATCATCTGACGCCAAATTTCTTGCTTAATAGTGCTATAATGACATCCCTTTTGTCAGCTACACAGCTCGTGAAACCGGAGTGGCTTGTCGAGTATATTCGCTTAGGCGAATCATCTGAAGATGAAGACCCTTTCGGTTCAGCGCTCGAGAAGACGTTCAATCCGCCTCCTGAAACAAGATATCGACCGACTTTTTCTGCAAGCCTTCCCAGCTCATTGAAGCAATTTAAGGTCTGGGAGCCCAATGAAGAACGGATCAACATGCTAAGAGGCTACAGATTTATACTTGTAAGCGAAAGGAGCAGGGAGGTAGATGGTGAACTGCGAGACCTGATTGTTCGTGGAGGAGGAGAGTACGAGGCTTTCAGTATTATGTCAGGTTTAGGCAAGTGGCGTCAGCTATTAGCCAAAAATAAAAGAAAGGTGGACGAGATGGGTAGCAGTGGTAAGATGATGGTAGTTGTAGCTGATGAAGGGGCTATGAGCGCCGCACTTGGTTCAGAGCAATGGCAGAGCTTTGTCGCAGATGCGAGCAGGTATGGACCCTCCTTGTTTCTCCGGTCAATTACATTAAATCACTTTATTCTTAGTCTGAGCTCGCGTGTCATTCCTCCCGAAAATCTACTACAAGCTGTTGCCAACACCGACACTACTTACATAGAGGACCATCAAGGTGATATTGAGATCCCTGTACAAGGTTTTTGGATTTTCCGTGATGATTGTTTATCAGCATCACTTATACAAAAGAAGACTTTGCATCTTCATTGCCAGATTTTATACCTAATACTCACCCAAACGAACCGTCATTGACGAATGATGTTCCGGAACAACCTATTCCAATCCCGACGTCTCCCCCGAGAGCAATCGAAGATATTCAAAAGCCAGTTTCACAGCGTAATGAGGATCCTCCTGACCTACCACCTCAACCACAGGAAGATGAAGCTGTGGCAGAACCTTCTCGTCGTCCTCGAAAGGCGAGTACATCATGACTGACCGTAGAAAATTATATAAACTACGTTCCCAGACTCTGATACGTCGAGCAAATCGTCAGCGGCCAACAGATACTTCCGAATCCCATGCTACCGATGAAGCAGCTGCGTCTACCTCAGGGGCAGAGAAACCAACTACTACAGTAAGCCGATCACACCTCTTTCTTTCACTCGTTTAAACCTTTCTAGTCCCACCCGAGGCCCCGCTCTGCAAGATTGACTAGGCGAGCTGGGACCGCCATCGCGCCTATGGTTGTGGCGGAACCATTTTTGGAAGAGAACGGTGGTACACAGGCTCCCTCACTTTCGAAGTTCAAGGACCTTTTCGATGCGAGTGATCCGGACAAACTTGAAAAAGAGGATATTCCCATATTCGGCCCATCGGACAGTCAATCTCAAATCACCAATAATCAGAGCGCAACTCAAAGCGAGACTCAAGCAATAGCGAAGCCGCGATCTGGTGTCGAGCCTTCTGGAAGGCTGGGCGTGGTAATGGAAGAAGACGAAGGTAGGCCTTCGCTAGAGGAGGACCATCCACCAACGGATATGAACCTGGATCAAGTTGGTCTTGCGCCCCGTTCGCAAGTGGACGAACAGGAAGTTATAGATGAAGTCGACCGACATGATGGTGACCTGTTGTCTGCCGGGAGTGAGACATCTGCACCGAAAGAACCTCCCAGACCTATAAAGCCCAATAGTGCTACTCAAAGTAAGATGGACAAAGATGACGCCTTCCTCAAAGCAGTAGCCTCTACCAAGAAGGGAAAGAAAGCAGAAGACAGCTTTGATCGTGAATTCAACAATTTACGAATATCCAGGCCTGATTTACAGCGAGAGGAGCAGGAACAGGAATGGGCGGTACTTGGTGATTTTGATGATATTAGAAACATCAGAGGGAACTTCATGGTGGTGTTGGAAATGGACGTTTTTAGGAAGGATACAGAGCATAATCAACAACAAAGGGCTGAATGGATGCAACGACCCAACTTCAAGAAGTTCAAAAAGGTGAGCATGCCGTCTTTTCTTCTGGGTCTCGGTCTGCTAATGTTTGGTCAAGAAAATAAATCCAGGTTCAAGAAAACCCGTGGAAGTGATGTTCAACGAAGACAACGACTATGGAGTAGGTTCTGGTATGTCATTTTTGAGCCATTCAGATGTGTTACGAGACTGGGTATGCAATGAAACAGGATACTGGAAAGGCGGCTCGCAGTCATCCCATCCTAAGGGAGATGGTACCTTTGCAACCCAGCAGTCTATTCCCGCTGATTCTACGTCCAAACGAAAGCGGAGAGCATTTACTGTAGCTGACTCAGATGAGGAGATGTTAGAAGAAGAACCAGTTCGCAAGAAAAGCAAGAACCCGGCCATCAAGAAGGAGCCAGCCAGTCAGGCTATTAAGCGCTCTTCGAAGCCAAATAAAGGAACCGTCAACACCCTGTTTCTACCGTCAGATGAAGAGGACGAGAAGTCGGAGCCAATTGACTCCCATACTCTTGACGATATAGACAGCGGAGATAATGGGACTTCTACTATGCAGTCCAATGATCATGACTTACCAGCAACGCGGAGTTCAACAACGCGACGAACTGCAAGAGGAAATAAGAGGACTATTGCAATTGCAGACGATGAATCTGATGACGGAGCGACTTTCAAAGGTTTTGGCTCAAAAAGAAGAAAAATAGGGAAATGATTATACATGACGCTCTAAAGCACAGAGGCAGTGTGTACAACTTGAACTCCTAGCCTTTCCCGATGGTTTTGCATGTCGTATGAATTGGTATAATATGAGCGACGATCGTCGTCTTAGTTTTTGCATTATAGTAATAGACTGGCTAGCTTGTGAGATATCACAACCGTTCTAACTCATCGTGGATTGAAAATCCGAGGAGACGCTGTGTTTTAGAAGCCTTCCGTCCTCCGGTTTGACTTTACCCCTAATTAGCTACAGTATCATACTATAACGGAAAAACGCACCTTTGCTCTTGACATACAAAAACCTCAGGAGCTCCTTCCCAGTCCTCGAGAACATATTTCGTGGCATTTCCTTCTGCGCCATCATCGTCCCCAGTCCCAAACAAGTCCAGAGCTAGTTGAGTATGACTGACACCCGCGTACGTTGTCACGCAACGAGGGTTGATCAGTATACGCGCTGGCTCGTAGACAGAGTTGGGGATGGATAGTCGACCAACGGGGAGATCTTCGAAGTGTAAATCTTCGTCTGGCATTGCATCGTAGTCAGATCCGGCATTGGCGTCCGGATCTACGGGAGGTGGTTGACGACGGACGATACTTGGAGTGTCCTTCGAGGCATCCTGTTTCGGGGCATCCTGCTTCGGACTATTCTGTTTCGGTGCATTCTTCTTCTTCTGCCGAGAACTCTCGTCGCTAACCTCATCATCCTTTACTCCTTCCAGAGCTTTGCTTATCCACAGATCCCTGCAGAACCAAGCCTGGGTACTGTCTAGACAAGACGCGTCGGAAGGTCTTGGCGGCTGGGGGTCAGAAGAAGATACATTGTGGTAGTCTTCTCCATAGCGGTATTGGATACCCTTGTAATAGGATTGTGCAGGGTCTACGATATGGGTACCGGCCTCACAGCAGAATACCTGGAAAGGCAAGTGATCTATGTAGCGCGCAGCTCCAACCTCATCTCGTGGGGGAACAGCATCTGGTTTAGAGGACGACCTTGACTGTCTGAACTGGTCTCCGTGAATGTCGCGTGTACGCCACCTGGTAATGGAGCCGAATAAAGATCAGATATGCGTTGATATTACACAAGTATACGTTGTCGTACCGGTCAGAAAAAATAAAGAATCCATTGAACTCGGCCCAATCCATTCCACATACCATTGCAGCTTCGTTGGCAATGCTTACTTTGATTGTTTCCAGGATATCGTTTGGGCACGTAAAACCCTTGAGCCAAATGACTCGGTGAAATTTGATATTACGTTTGTGATATAGTTCTCCCAAGGGTTCCAAAGCAAGATTTCTCATGTACGCCTCTTCAGAGGGATAGTATGCAGCGGTGGGGTCTTCGGTCATTCCTGGAACTCTTCGAATTCTGAACGGGACGCCCAAAAGGGTCAAAACGGCTTCGCAAAGGTCTGTAAGTGTGGAAGTTGAATCTGTTGAGTCATAATCAAGCATCGACACGAAGAGGTTGGATGTTCCCAAACGTTTCGCCAATTGGACAATGACGGCAAGCTGATCGACAAGAAAATGGTCGGCTGAATGTATGGCGATAGCAATGTAGAACAAGTGATCTTCTCTGGCAAGGTCATCGTAGGCGTCTTCATCCTGGTTCTTATTCTGTCCGAAAGGGCGGGCTAGTGTAGGACAATATGCGGCTACCCAACCGTTTAAAGAGAGAAGGTGTTCAATGGAAGTTAAAACGCTCTGTACGTCCATATGCGTAGTCTCCTTTCCTTTGATACTGTAAACGCCGTTGCAAAATGATGAACATGGAGCGAACAGACGGCAAGCAATTGTACTCACTATGGTTTTTGAAAGCGCTGCCAGTAATCTGCCACCCCATTCGAAATAAAGTCTTCAAATATATCAGGCCTCTCGTCCCGGCCCATTCGCGACTGTAGGTTTTTGTGTTTCTGTACATTCAAGGTCTTATCTGACCCAGTTACCCTTTCAAAAACATTATATTCTTGAATTTCAAGAAATGTCGACGGCGTTGGATTCCATGATGAGGGATAGAAAAGGAGGCGAACAAAGAAGACAAGACTTAAAGCAAAGAATATTCTCGTCAACGTGTGCCGTCGCAGAGACCAGGCCATGACGGATGTCAGAATCCGAAGTTCTAAGGCACCTGTCACGGTCATATGGGTTTTTCGTTGGCCTGCCCTGACACACCCTATAGTCTTTTGTGGCACATCTGATTCCAACCGACTTTAGCTCAGTTGGAAGAGCGCGAGACTGTAATTGGTTGAATATCTTGAGGTCGCCTGTTCGAGCCAGGCAAGTCGGATATATTTTTGCACATTGTGTTTAAGCGCTTACGCTTACACATTACGGCACGGCTACATCGAAGGCTATAACGACGCCGAAATTCTTTTCAAGCGAGTTCTTGGACAAGGTCGTCACTGCATATTGAATGTCGGTATCACTTTTGCGACACCATATTCTTTTTAAATCTTTATGTACTGCATGCCTGCATCCCCATCCTTATCGTCGGTATGCTTCCCAAGGTGCTCTTGCTCTCGCGTCTTCTACCCCCGAACCTACGAAAGAAACGCGGCTGGAGGGTTCAAGTACGGCTGTCAATGACCATGGAGAAATGGGCCAACCGTCGAACGTTCCTTCGCAAGTAGACGGAATGAAGCCTGTAAAGCCAAGTGGGGACAGCGCTGCTCGCAGAAATCCGTTAGAACCAACTCGTGTGGACAAGTACCTGGCTTCTATCCGTGCTGCAGGACTGGAACCAACCTTGGACGACATTGAACGATGCAAGCCTGCGAGGCGCGCTCGTCCCCATTCTCCCCAATACGCTGATGACTATCACAATCTCGTTGATTCCCTATGTCGATCCTTCAGCAAGGACCAACTGCGTCAATTTACATTGCTCTATAAACTGGATCCCATTTGGACAAGGTCCAAACGTCGGAAAGTCGAATATGCCGAGTCCATCATAGAAAAACAGTGGGGTTGGCCATCGCTCAAGGAAATTGAAAGGCAGAGGAGAGACAGAACAGAAGTGACAGAAAAATGTTCGTCTTGTTTCGCAGACATTTGAATCAAAATCTCACCTATCATTTTAGCTTTCCACGTAAATCCAAGTCAGCTATTTTTGATATTGGGGCAGGGTAAGTCCATAGTTTGGTTATAGTCGATGTTTTCAACAACCCTGTTTGCAGATGGAGCCGATCTATTACAGTTATCTATGCAGTATAATGTGCACATTTCACTTACTTCTGATCCCCTGGCGCTCAGAGTGGAAGGTTTGAGAGGATCTCTGAAGCAACTGTCTGAGCATATCAGTCTGCTGAAAAAGGTGGGTAAATGAACTCAAGGTAGCGCTTATCTTAATTATATGGGGATGCAGGACATTGTGGAAGAAGTTGTCGAGTTGCCCGTCAAACGTCCCATTCGACATGATTTACTTCAGCGGATATCCCGTTTAGCCAATGCTTACGTCGAGAACATTGGATTTAAAGGAAAAGTACGTGGAAAGAACTCTCCCTATTATATATGTGTTTGACTTCTTCTCAGATTCGAATTTGTGCCAAAGAACACAGTAGTTTGACCACTGCTAAACGGCTGGCTACCCGCGCTTCCAGTGAAGTAAGTATCTATCCCTTGGTAGACTTTTAGGGTGATGGACGATTCGTTCTTGTTAGGTAGATGACTTCAAGTCCCCACCACTGCTATCCTATACTCCTCCAGTAGTCAACCGTCAACCGTCTGTTCCTGTCACGGCGTCCCAACAGACATACTCTGTTTATCCGTTTTTGTCCCCACGTTCCGTACCCTGGACGATGAACTCGGGCGGAACATTCAGAATCCGTCGCGTGGGTGAATGGCTCGGCATCGATGCCACAGAGGATGTTCAGAAAACTGGTGGTCTAGCCGGAGGCAAAGGTAGCTTCTTGACCAAGTCTGGGTATGTCCGGTTTTGAAATTGGTATCCTTACATTTAAAAACCTGATTTCGACTTAGTCAGCCCTGCGAACTTGTGGAGGCTCTTAGGCGCAATGCTTCTGAAGAAAAACAAGGCTACAGTCGGGTGTTTACGGCCTCGTGAGTTCTCCTCTACTTACATGCAATTCAATTAACTTACAGTGACTTAGACTTGGACATATGTTAATCACAGCTCCTACACCAGCTCAGCGATCAAGTATTATTCCTCCATTGAAAGGCTACTTTGCTCTCCCAAATATTCTCAAGTGGCTAGAAAGCGGCACTAATAAGATAGAATTTGTTCCAAGGTCAGAGGTTTCGCGTTCTTCTGTCAGCATATATTGACTGTTAAATCTCCAGCTTACCGGCTCCATTGCTGAAATCTCAGCCCGCCGAACAGAAAATACTCCATCGTCTGCTGTACAAAAAGCTTCCCTCACTCGAAGATCCTGTTAAGGTCGATAGCCCCCAGTCAAGCGAGCTTGCATCTCAGGGTGTGATTAAATTCGAAATGGAAATCATGCGTCCAACCAACAAGGCAGATCCCGAAATGATGATGGAAGACTCCGTTGATACTTCCATTGACTCTGAGTTGACTGGCAACGCGGAACAATTTACCAACGATTACCTCGGGGACGACAGTCAGAATTTAGAGAATCATCCTTCTAGTATTGTCTCTGAGCTACAAGAAAATATCGACGAGTTCTCTGACACAGATTCGGACTTGCCCGTAGAAGTTCAATGCATTCAGGGCGAAGAAACTACTGTGGACCTTTTGATGCCTGACCGGTAAGACCCCTGAGACAAATAGTTGAAGCTTCTGAACAGCAGTTTGTAGCCCCATGGACGTACGGTTCTCCGTCTTCAACTGCAGGAAGATCGCACAGGAACATCAACCAGAAGATTTGAGAAAATACGCCTCTAATCTGCATTCGTTGTATGTTACCTCACCTTTCATATCTTCGTAAGGCTTTAGCATTTACTTTTTTATTTTGTGTAGCTTAAATGCCGCGGAACCAGACGTATCTCAGCCTCGTCCACCCCTAACAGTATGCCATGATGGTGATGTTTATCTTCTTCAATCCAGTCATAGTATCCGTCAAGGCTTCGAGTCCCTGCCGACGTCTTTCCAAGCTGACAGGCCTGGTAATGAAGTTCCTTTAGAAGCCGAACCAGCACCTGTTATCAGTGAAAGTGTTTTGGACCTGGAGAGTAATCAAAAATTGTCCATATGTCAGGTAAAAAAGTCGCGATCAGTCCCACTTTATTCTGTTACTCATTTTCTTATTTAGGTCACTTGTGATAATCATACAGACGAGCAATCCTGGAGCCAGTTCCTGAAGGGCTGCGATGTGCTCAGTTCAGTTACTTTTCATTCTCCAAGTGTGGAAACAGAATCCGACGTAGACTATCTTGAGCAGTAGAACTGATATATTCGAATAATATACTTTTTAATAGCACGGAGAACAATTGAGAACAGACATGAAATCTAGTGTTTGCGCTTTTTATTGGCCTTGTCCTTCCGCTTTTTGGCGCGGACCTGAAAGGATTATGAAAATTGAGAGTTTTCCAGCATTTCCACAGGAAACATACCTCTTTTTTCATTCTAGAGTCGACCATGGTATAACGGCCTTTCACTCCCTTGGGCCTACCCTTTAATCCTTTGTGAGCACCCTTCGCCACTACTACTTTAATCTCCTTCTTTTCCTTCTTCTTCGACATACCCTTCTTCATCAACTTTTCTATCTGTTGAGCTTTTTCTCGTTCAGTCATATCTGAGGTTGCATTGACTCCCTCTGCTTTCTTCATTGCTTTTTCCACCCGCTGAGCAGCTTTGAATTTCTTCCTTGCTTTGGCTTCGGCAACCTTCTTGATGGGACGCGCATCCAGAGCCCGCTGTCTTGCTCGCAAAGCTGCTACAGCTTCTTTGGTAACTGGTATGTTGGGTCTGTAAAATTTGGACTCGTCATCCAAGAACCACGGAGGTAGGTCGTCTTTAGAGTTTAGTGAATACCGGCTAAAGCCGTCGTTGATGAGCTGCGTTTTTGTCGTTTCTCTATTTACCAGACGGTGGGCGATTGACACGGCTTCAGGTGTGATCAATCCGTATTCTTCCCAATTATATAGTTAATGCCAAAGGTGAGACTATGTTCATGATTGGACGTACTTTTGATGTGCTCTGCTTTGACTTCGTCTTCGTTTTCATTGTCGGCATCCCACATTTCAACGGTATCATCAGCATCTTGTGGTACAACGTCGAAGTCATCACCCTCATCAGACTATGGGACGTCAATACACTTAGTACACTGATGACTTGGGGATGCAAAACTTACCTCATCTTGCCAAGCTTCATCCGCCTCTTCATCTATTGCACTTGCCATGTCGACGTCATCATCAACCTCGCTCATGTGCTCATCTTCTACATCTTCTACACCTTCCATGTCACCAAAGACATCTTGACTAAACCAAACCTCGGCTGCGCGAGTCGTGCGTACTGGCGCTTCACCCTTTTCAAGTCTCGGATGTTTGTTTGGCACGTCTGAATCTGATTTTCGTGTCCGTTTCCCCTTGGTTTGCGCTGGCTTCTCATCAGCTTCATCATCGCTGCTGTCAGAGGACGAGTCCTCGGACTCTTTCCCTTTCGCCTCTTCCATTTTGTCCCACCCGCCCTCTTCCCCACTTTCGTCAGAATCGTCGCCTTTACTTTCCTGAAAGCCTCCCCATTCCTCGAGTAAACCTGCCTTCTTCCTTGCCTCTGTGGCTTTAAACTTTTTGTCTTTTTCGTGCATCTGCTCCTGATATGCATCATACATCCCATCCAGCTCAAGTTCCAAAGCCGCCACCTTTTTGCTCTTCACTTCATCAGAAGAAAGATCGCCATTGTCGCTCTCATCGTCGCTTTGATACTCTTCCTCTTCGCTCATGTCTGGCATCCCATCCTCAGCAGCTAAATCTATGACTGTGTTTTTCTTCCGGCGAGGTCTCTGGACTTCATCCAGATCAAACACGTCTTCCTGACCCATACCAAGCGACAAATCGTGTTGTTCCAAACCAATGTCGAGAGGAGCTGTCATCTGAAGTTGCATACGCTGTATCGTCTTCCTTTTGGCTTCATTAGCTCGCCTTCTGTCTTGTTTAGTACGAGTAGCAGCCTCGGCGTTCAAACGCTCGAGCTATGGTATTAAATCAGTTACGGGCGTGAGTCCTGTGCAGTACCTGTCACAAACCTCTTCTTCAATTTGTTGATCCACATCAACTTCTTCAGTGGTCTCAGCGGCTTCTGTTATATCTTCTGTGTCCTTAGTTTTAAGGTCCATTCCGGTCTTTATAAAGCAGTTAGCGCCATTTCTCTATCAGCAGTATGTGTAACTCGATAACATTACCTCTTCTCGGAGTGCAATACGCCATCTAATCAGAGCCTTGAAGTCACCTTTTCCAAGTACTTTTAAATCATCGCAATTGGCCTTGATATCACCAGTAGTTATGTCCAACTTGAGCCACCTTTTACGACGCATATAACGCTGAAGTATCATGACAGAAAATAATGACGCACTGTTTTTCTTCATCCGTCTCAAAAGCAATTTTGTTAATAGTACCGAGGACGCCTATAGGATTAGTGCCCTTAACGAATTCGCTTGCGGTCATCTTTTTGAATAATGTGTAGTCGCCGTCATCGTACCCATCTCGCTTTCTTCGCTTCTTCTCCGGTTGGAAGACGTTGGCCTGAGCATTATTAGCAGATGTCCCCATATCGACCGGTGCTGACGCGGACAGGTCTTTGAAGACATGTTTTGGATCAAGGAACTTGGGGTCGATATGTTTTGGTGCCAGGAAATCACGACAGACGACGAAAATTTCGGCAGAAACGTTCCTAGAATCCATCAGTATATGGTAGTCAAAGAGTACTGCTGAGGTATAAACCTCACCTAGATGAAGGAGGCTTTGTAGCCTCCACTTTTCCAAAAAGTTGATTGAAAACCCAGATAAGATTGTTATAATCCACACTACGGAACACCTTTGTCACAAATGTCCCACCCTTGACGAGAAATTCTACCGCGAGTTTCAGACTCATGAGCACCAGCTCTGACTGACTGTAAGCGTCCTGAATCCAAGCAGTTCCAACATTCGGTGCTCCATCGTGCAAAACAACATCAGCCTTCCAGTCTTTTACTTCGCTTCTAATAAGATTCCGGCACTGTGGTGTTGTAATGTCTGATGCAAAAGTAACTACGCGTGGGATAGGCTTGATGGCCACCAAATCAACGCCTAGAAGGGCATCAGCAGAGGACGGTAAAGAAAATGTTGAGATAATACCGATTATGACACTGTTTGCTGGCATATATTTGCTTGCGACTTGAAGCCAACCACCAGGAGCGGCACAGAGATCTATGCAGCATCGTGCAGACTCGAGGAACGAATATTTCTTGTTGAGTTGGATTAACTTGAATGCAGAACGAGCACGATAACCTTGCTCTCTGGGAAAAAAGTGGTGGTGTCGGTATCAATCAAGTTTTGTCATTATAAGTGGACCTGGACTTACTTTGCAAGCTTGTAATACTTATCAAGCCGACCTTTGCCTGTTTTCTTCTGTGCTTTACCCATCGGATCGCAGATGTAGTCTCGGTGACAAAAGTGTACTCCTCATGAAGAGACATCCTACCTCACGTGATGTGATGTCCTGTGACAGCTTAATAGTTAAGTCACAGCAGGGGGCACAGTACACTATGGCTTATAAGCAGATAATATTGACCTTAAAAACTACACTGCAACAAATCTATATAGTACACAGCGTATAAGCAGATAATATCGAACTTGAGCCTTTCCCCACCTAAGCACAGCCCAGACCTCCAATAATCCATATATATGCTGGGCTCAAATAAGCCACTGTATAGTTTTGACCATATGTTTATTGCAGTGTTGGTTTTGCCATGGACCAGACTTAATTTTGCAACAGTGTCATTTCCATGCTACAGGCCAGAAATCCCAAAACACCAGGACCCCTAAGTCCAAACTCCTGGGTTTCCTGGAATTGTGTTCCTTGTACTCTCACATCACAGTGAGGAAACTTTCAACCCCCATGTTAAGCATAGGAAATTGCATACAAGAACTTAAAAAAATTGATTTGACATTTCAGCCCCTGTAAACTTGATATATTGAGATAAGGGTAGGTAAGTAACTGCCATTTTGTGAGAGTGCAAAATTATAATGCAACCACTATAACTGAACTAACAGAGTGGCAATGTCGAATCTTTAGCAAGTAGTTGAACAAGGTATATTGAGAGTAAATCAAAAGCTGGGGTATGTACAGTGTTGAGTAGCTACTTATATATATGTAGGAATGTGTCAGCCTTGAGGCGCTGACTGAGAAACATGAGGGAAAGGCATGGATGCTGAGTAAGTGGTCAGGTGACTTAAGGTGATGTGACGAGATAAGATAAATACTACATATTGATTAGATAAGGTGAAATGAGTGTCTCGACGTCAGAGTTTGATAGATAAGGAGATTGATCAGGGTTTGGAGTTGGAGATTGTGACAAAAATGTTGCACAAAAATATGGTATTTTGATACATATTTTGATTTAAATTTCAAAGTGTGGAAATTGTCTTCACTATGATGTGTCTGCTATTCTGTAACAACACTAAAGTTGGTATACTCTGGCACACACAACAAACAGGCAAGAGAAGATAGTATGAGGGAGTTGGTAGACTCCACTTGGTAGAAAATAGGTTTGTTGTGAGTAAACAACAGGAGGACTTGCTGAGGAGTCTCCAATCTATTAAGGGGTATTTATGGTATACTAATACATGGCGCTTATACATATATACTATACAGCTGATAAGAGGTGGTGGCTGATGACATTATAGGGTGTAGCCCTTATGACCAGCTCCATCATATAAGAGAGTTGTGACTAAAATAAAACAAAGCTGTGCAGTATGAAAAGTGAAAGGTACAAATAGAGTACACACAGCAAGCATTAACAACTTTCATCACACTCATAATGGATGAAAAACTCTGAAAGTAGTTAAAATATTTGATTGCATTTTGGATCTACAAAATGATATCTTTTTATTGACATATTTCCATTAATACTATATTTTTGTGTGGATATGTAGAGATATGTCAACAAAAATACATTATTCTTGTAGGTCCAAAATGCAATTATACATTTTAACTACTTTCAGACTTTTTCATTGATTTTGGGTGTGACAAAAGTTGGTTATGCTTGGTGTGTACAAAAATAATGGCAAGTGCTGTGCGGCACAATTGTCCAAAGTGAGAAAGAGGGTTAGGTGGGGGAATTGGAATTTGGAGGTCTGAAAATTGTGAACTGTAAAACATATTTGTTACAATACATGATTTTTGGACCTTTAACTTTTATTTCTCCTATTCAACTTTTATTATCTTTTAAACCCTAGATGGCACATTCCTTCATTTTCAAACTACACCCAAGTTAGAATACAGGAATATTACCAGTTGGGGCACTAGCCAACATGGAAAAATCTTTGGGCAGAGGTTGAAAAATACTTCAAACCCCAAGCTGAGCATGACTGGGCATATCAGCAAATCAGTTCCTTCAAACAAGAAATTGATAGGACAGATGATTTCATTACCTGGTTCCTGGCCCTCTCTATTCAAGGGGTATTGGAAATGAATATGCGGTGAAGCTGTTGGAGTACAATGTGGAACCAACCATTGCTCAGCAACTCTACCTACATAATAGGAGAGAGGACAAACTTGCCGATGTGGCTAAGGCAGTTATAACGTCTCCACTTATGCCGAACTAACGGAGTGAAGGTGTCAAATCTCAGCAGGTAGTTGAACTTGTTTATAGAGAGGAAATTGAAAGCTAAGGTATGTACAATGAAGATTGACTACTTATATATGTAATGAGGCGTGTCAGCCTTGAGGCGCTGACTGAGAAACACGAGGATAACACATGTGTGATGAGTAATCAGGTGACCTAATGTCACGTGATGAGATAAGATAAATACTACGTGCTGATTAGATATGGTGAGATAAGTGTCTCTACATCAGATAAGGATTCAGGAGATTGTGATTGTGACATTACCCCCCCCTTAGGACTTTTGTCTTGAAAGGTAGGGTCGAGTTCGCTGTTTTCCCAATTAAATAGTCTACGATTGTATGATGGTTGGGTGAGATTTTCAAAGGGTTGAAAGTGTAACGTGAAATTGATTCTTCTGGGGGCTGCTGGAAAATGATCATGGAAGTCTTTGACTAAGTCCGAAGAGTTTTTGATATTACTCTCAGGTTCCCATGTTCGTTCTTCTTTCCCGTAGCCTTTCCAATGAACCAGATATTCTAACTTGCCACGTTTCAATCGTGAGTCAAGTATTTGTTCAACTTCGTATTCTCTTTGTCCATCTACTTCTGCAGGTGGTGGTGGCTTTGGTTTCCTTTGTCCCGGATATGTTGGTTCTTTGTAGGGATGTAGAAGCTTTTTGTTAAAGACTGGGTAGACATTTTTCCATTTCCAGGCAGTTTGAGTTTATAGGCTGCTGGTCCAGTCTTTTTCTCGACTACAAAGTGTCCGTGTTGTTTGTTGTCGAGCTTTTTTGATGGTCAATCAGTGGTGTTATGCTCTGCTTTGATATTCCACACTGTCTTTTTTGTTTTTATTGTATGATTTTTTCATTATCTTGGCTGCCTTTGCCAGAGATTTCTCCGCATTCTCTCGCACCTCCTTCATTCTTTCTACGAACTCTTCCGCACTCTCATTCTTCACCATCATTTTGATTCCTTCAGTTACTTTTGGATGTTGTCCGTAGTTTAAATAAAAAGGGCTATGACCAGTAGCCTAATGTTCTTTGTTATTATAGGAAAACTCTGCTAATGGTAGCTATTCTGCCCAATTATCTTGTTTATGATTTACGAAGATTCTGAGGTATTGTTCGACCTCTTGATTAATTCTCTCCATTTGTCCATCTGTTTGAGGATGATATGCAGTGGATGGATTTCCTTTTATTCCGAGTAATGTATAGAGATCTTTTATGAAGTTTGAGATGAATTGGACTCCCCGATCTGATATGACTTTATTGGGTAGTCCGTGATGTCTGAAGACGTTGTCTCAGAATAATCTCGCTACTCCTTCGGAATTTAGTTCAGCATGAGTTGGTAATAATTTAATCATTTTGGAAAATTGATCAACAATTACTGTTATCATATTGTGGCCCTTGGATTCAGGTAACAGTCCGATGAGATGTATTGAAATGATTTGCCAGGGATGGCTTGGGATCTCATTCGGGTGTAGCGGTGCTGCCTTTTTCTGATGGTCTATTTTGGTTATTTGGCAGGTTTTGCATCCCATTACGTATTCTTGGATGTCTTTATCCATATAAGGCCACCAGTACGTTCTGGTAATCAACTCCTTCATCTTGTACCGGCCTGGGTGACCAGCAATGATAGAATTGTGATTTTCTTTGATGATCTTTTCTCGAAGTTTCCGGTCTTTCAGAACATACATTCGTCCTTTGAAATATATTAACCCCTCCTCTGTCCACCAACCGTCTTCTCGATCTCGTATCTTTCCTTCCATCTTTTTTACCACTTCATCTACGTTGTTCATTCTCCTACTGATCCATTTATATGTCTCTATCGTCTCTTTCTGTGATTCTTCCATTTATTGCCTTTGTTTCCCTGTTAGAGATATATTGATTCTAAATAGATCATCTTTGAGAACTATGACATTTTCATTATCGTTCTCTCCCTTATCATGGTCTGGTCGTCTGGATAGTAAGTCCGCTTTAATGTGGATAGCTCCTGGTTTATGGTGAAATGTGAAATGGTAGTTAGCCAGTTCGCTGACCCATCTAGCTTGTCTTCTGTTTAGCTTCTGAGGTTGTTTAAAGTACATGAGGTTTTGGTGATCTGTCCAAATCTCAAATTCCTTTGCGGCATCCATTAAATAATGACACCATTCCTCTAGAGCTGTCATGATTGCTAATAGTTCCTTATCATAAATCTCATAGTTTCTTTCTGTCTCGTTTTTTTTAGAGGTTTTGACAAGTAGGCTATTGGTTTCCAGACTCCTTCTTGCTCTTGGGAAAGCACCGCTCCTAAAGCATAATCACCGCTATCCGCTTCGACTCGGTATTGACCGTCATTGGTCAGTAGAGCTAATACTGGGGTTGAGCTAATTCTTTTCTTTATCTCTTTAAATGCTTCCTTTTGCTTGTTTCCCCATTTGAACTCTTCTTTACCGGTAAGTCGGGTAAGTGGTTTTGCGATTGCTCTAAATCCTTCGATAAACCTTCTGTAAAAGTTTACAAAACCTAAGAAGGCCTGCACCTGCTTCTTGGTCGTGCATTCTGGCCAATCTAAGATTCCTTTGACTTTCACCGGATCCATGCAAATTTTGTTTTCTGAGATGATCAATCCCAGATATTCTGTTTTGGTTTCTTCAAAATCACATTTTTCCGGTTTCAGATACAAATGGTTCTTTCTCAGGATCTGAAGAACACGTCGCGTCATTGCTCGGTGTTCTTCGATTGTTTTTGTGAAGATCATAATGTCATTTAAGTAGATCACTACCTTTCCTTCTTCTATTAAGTCTTTAAAGATGGAGTTCATCATTGTTTGGAACGTTGTGGGTGAGTTCATCAGTCCAAAGAACATGACTAAGGGTTCAAATAGTCCTCTGTTCGTTCTGAACGCCGCTTTGTGTTCATCTCCTTCCTTGATCCGGATATTGTTATATCCCCATCTGATATCTAGTTTAGTGAAGAATTTGGCTCCCCTGAGCTTGTCTACAAGTTCATTAATCAGGGGTAGCGGATATCGATTTTTGATGGTGATTTCATTTAGTTTCCGGTAATCTTGGATGGGTCGGAGTTTTCCATCTTTTTTCTTAATGAAGAAGGACGGTGAAGCAATTGGAGATTTACTTGGTTGGATGTGTCCTGATTCTAGATTCTCTTTTAGGAAGGCATCCAACTGTTCTTGTTCTCCTTTTGCTAATGGATAGACTTTGCAGTCTATCGTATGATCTCCAGGAGTTAACTCTATTGCATGATCCCATTGTCTTCTCTCTGGGAGGGTATCGAATTCTTTTTTATCAAACACATCTTTAAAGTCGTGAAGGTGTTTTGGTACTATCCCTTCAAATCCTCCTGTATTTTGATCTTTTCCTGCTGCTTTGGCTAATTGTTGTGCTGTGGTGCCGTGAGTGCGGATCTGATGTATAACATTTGGAATTGATGTATCTTCGACATTTATGATGTTAATTTGTAGAATTCTATCCCCCTTTATAAGATTGACCTCTGGGCAATAGGTTTCCAGATCTTCTTCCGGTTCTATGAATCGTACCATCATGTTGCATTCATTCGGACATCTGTTGAATTTTAGATTTGATTTGTTCCAGTCTATTGTGGGATTATGTTTTTTTAACCATTCATGGCCTAGAAACATTCGACCAGTTCCAAGATTGGTAACTGCCAGTTGAAGTCTTTTAGCATGGTCGTCTATCTCCACTAATAGTTCTATAAATTCTTTGATGCTTCCGTCCCGGTTAAGGGTGCCATCAGCATTATAGACTGGAATTGGTCTAGGGATTCTTTGCCTTTCATATCCCTGTTCCTCAACAAATTTTGAACCTATGCAACTTCTGGTACAGCCGCTGTCTAATAATGCATCTATCGTTGTTGATTGATGCATTCCGAGGTTTGTAAATATGCAGGTAATGTTCATTTGGTTTCCTTGAGTGCCTCTGATGAATTGTTTAGGCTTTCTCAATTCTTCCAATGCTAATACCGTTTTGTGGATTGGTAAAACGTTTAATTCTTTGATTAACTCTGCAGTTACTTCTTTTCCTCATTTTTTATGGGTCCAGCTATTTAAAATACCAATAGATCTTTCTTCCTTTTGGTCTCTCAGCCTTTCTGCTATCCATGCAGCTGTCCATGGTACTTTTCTGTTTTCTAGGTTTTTATCAGAGGTGTGCCTGACCCATTTGGAGCTGGTCGAAGTATCAGTGCCATTAGTGCTACCCAATTGAGTCACTGCATTCTGTACTTGAGTTGTCTCCTTCTTTGCTGCACTTTTTGTGGTCCTATCCCCTTTAGGTACCTCGCACGCCGCTTCAGAATGTGTCAAGGTATCAGTATCAGAAGCGCTATCCAATTGAGTCGCTTCATTCTGTACCTTAGTTGTTTCTGTTTTGGGAATCTTTTCAGCCCGTTTCCCTTTCAGGCTCTCCTCTTTAGATTGCTCTTTCTGTTTCAGAATTTGTGCGTCTTTAAATAATGCAATTTCATTTTCATTGGTTTTACATGCATCAAGATCGTCAACAAAGAGAGAAGCATATCTATTTACATTTGCAATGTTTTTTGGCTTGGTCTGACAAGGAGTCACAGCCAGCCTCTTTAAAAATCCTTGAGCAGTTTGTCCTGCTCTTCTTTCATCATTCCTTCTAACATAGCTTGAAGGTTGAACTTTGGCTTTGCAGCTGCACTGCCTCCTTCTTTATGGTCTTGGGCTCTGTGCCCCTTTTCTCCATATTTGAAGCACCTGCCTTCTGCTTGGTACTTCGCTTTGTCAACTTCCATTCTTTGACCGGCTCCACCATAGGTGGTTCCAGTCCCGTCTTTCTTATCTTCCACTGTCTCGGCCTTCTTCTCCGAAGCACCCTCTCCTTGGTACCGACCATTGGGTCCCCAGTTTCCGGAACCAGAGCTGCCACTGGCCATACCCTTCATCATCCGCTTGTTCTCTGCTTGATCTTGCCATAATTGATCATTGGTGATGATCCTTGTCTTCCATTCAGTGTATGTTTCCGGGATGTTTCCTGAGTAGATGATTTGTTTTATCAACAGAGCATTGATATTGTTTCTGATCAATGTGATCAGGAATTGTTCATTCCCTTTCACATTGTATCCTGTGTGTCGTCTGGTTGCTTCGAATTTTACAAAATACTCTTGCGCAGTGAGAGCACCTTGTTTTAAGTACATGATTTTGTACTTGCTTCTTTCTTCTTCAAACACATCTTGGAAATGGTCTTTTAGCATGGACTCAAAATGAGCCCAGCTTTCCAATTGTTCTATTTCTTCAATGTCTGTCCTTTTGTCTGCCAGCATCTTTCTTTCCACCCATTCTGTTCTAAGTGCTGCCGCCGCTCCACTTGTCATATAGGATAGGGCAAAATTGATTTTATTGACCTCTATCCGGAAGTATTCTGGGTTTGCTCCAAAATGAAGCTGTAGCGATTCAAAGAAGTTCCGGAACTTCTTTTTATTGCCATCATATGGCTCAGGCTTGGCCAATGTGGTTTTTCTGTAGCTGGCTTTGTGTTCAGTAGGCCGGCCCGTCTGTTGCTGCTGCTGCTGCTGCTGCATTGTGAGCCTTCTCCGCAAGCCTGCAACTTCTGCGTCTCTTTGCAGGAATCGCCTTTCCCATTCTGTGTTGTTGTCCTGGATTAGCCATCCGGACCATCATTTCTAAATTTTGCATGCACCTCAACTCTGGCGAAGGCAATCGTTCTCTTTTGCGGAGTAGGCGGTAGGGCCTCTCCTAATTTGTGCATTCCCATCCCTGGTGTTGATGGGGGTAGGATGTCTGGATTTGTCTCTCTCCATGCGTCAAAAAACATCTTGGGTTGTTGGTGGATAGCGGAATAGCTGGATTTGTTCTGGTGTTTCTTGTATTGGTTTGGGGGTGGGATCAAGGAACAACCAGATGCTTCGTGGTTCTTCAACAAAGTGCATACAAAAACGGTTCCCCAGATGACAAGTCTGGATCAACACATCAATTTTGTAGTTTCCTTTTTCTGTCTTCTCTTTAGGTAAAGGGATCCTCTTCTGTTCCCTACTACCGTGTACGTAAACTGTTCTAATAAAAGGTAGCTAAAAAACTATAGTAAAGTCTGAGGTCCGAACGGTTGTCTCAGATTAACCCGCTTATTAAGCTGTTGGTTCTTCTCCCAACTGGCGGATGCAAATGCACGGCCTGGTCAGAGGAATGCAAAAGTTGTAACTAATAAAACTGCAACAACTCCATGTCGTCTTGGTCTCTAAGTACTGGATTGGTTGGACGGATAATAGGAGAGAGAGGGATAGTTTCAAATAAGGAGTTGGGTGTGTTTTGGATGAATGTGATGATGGTAGATAGTCAGGGTTAGGGGATGTGATAGTTTGGTGTGGTGAGGTGAGGAAAATGTAAAGTTTGAGTAAGAGTAGGAGTAGGAGTGTTGCAACGGGAATTAGGATGATGATGAGAGTAGCCTTAATTTGACTCATTCAACCAAGTGCTATACTAGCTTTTGATTATATAATGTCTTCACTTATGCCAAACTAACGAAGTGAAGGTGTCAAATCTCAGCAGGTAGTTAAACTTGTTTATAGAGAGGAAATTGAAAGCTAAGGTATGTACAATGAAGATTGACTACTTATATATGTAATGAGGCGTGTCAGCCTTGAGGCGCTGACTGAGAAACATGAGGATAACACATGTGTGATGAGTAATCAGGTGACCTAATGTCACGTGATGAGATAAGATAAATACTATGTGCTGATTAGATATGGTGAGATAAGTGTCTCTACATCAGATAAGGATTCAGGAGATTGAGATCGTGACAGCAGTCCAAGACATTGTTAGGGCTCAAGAGCTTTATGAAATGCAACTCAATGGGAGATACACCAAACAAAATAACATTTCCAAGAGGTGCCCTGACTCATCAAACCAAAATTATAACCATTCTTACAGGTTCAAGCTGTTCAGGCTACACATCAGGAAAAACCTTTTTGCTATATAGCGCTATATAGCCACCACCTATATATATAAATGTATTCATAGAAACTATAGTACTATCAGTGCAATCATAGCTCTTATAGCTCTTATAGCATAGTAGTAGGCAAAATTTTAACCAAGGGGAGAAGTATCTACAATTCCCTCAAACTCTGGATTAATCTAATAAACTTGTTCAATAATAGAAAGAGGCCAAAAGTGTTTGGAGTCAAGTATATTATAGGCAAGGTACTATAAGTGCTTTTATAGCCTATAGCAGCCTACATAGCTCCTATAGTTGTGAAGGTCATAGTTATAATATAGTTTAAGGTGCTTACAAGGGCTAATAAATCATACAGTATTAATTAATTATGTAGCCTGTATTAGTGAAATAGTAGTTTGTATCTTTGATATTTATAAAATAAAAATAATAATTTATCCAAATATAAGTGGTGACAATGAGTAAAAAAATAATCTAAGTCCATAAAAGGTCAATATATAACACCTGTATGATACATTTTATAAGCTCTCATGGTGTAGTGGATAAATGTGATGTGTGGCTATAGGTTGCTTAGTCACCCAAAAGCTAACTAGCAGGTTGAGAGTTCAAATTTTGTCTGTGTTAATTTTTTTTATCAGCCACACAACAATTTCCAACATCTATAAGAGCATTTATAGAGCTATATGAGGCTCTATAGATAGCAGAGGCTCTATAACAGGTTACCACTATAACAGCTTTATGAGTACTTATAGTGCTATAGAGCTCTATATAGCTACCCCCATTTTTCCCGACGAACAAACGGACCATGACGAGGATCCAGAAAAGACCGTGGGGTGAGAGCAGAAATGACAGTAAATGAGCCATGGTTGTGGCTAGCGAAAGGAAAGAGAAATGGGGGAAAGGGGATGAACACTTCAGTCACCCCCACAACATAGGCATTTAGCTTCAACTATCTGTGTAAATGTATGAAGCTAAGAGCCTGTTTTTCCTGGTATCATCCCAAGTGCTGTAGTAAGGTTGGGATCATCCTGTCACAATCCAATGTACCACACCAGAGGGGAATTAAGAGGTCTGGGATGTTGAGAGAGATGAGGTGCATTAAATCAGAACCAAACAAGTTGGGTATGCCTGGTTATATGACTTGATGCCACTACAAGTTTTGCCAGTTGGCCATATGTGTTATGTGTGAGGCAACGATAAACTATAACAAAAACACTACCCATCTCCAACTGCACTTGCAGGGAGTAAGAGGTACAGTGAGTCTTGAAGATCGACAGATGCTAGTTAATATAGCAAGTAGAGGATATGGGAGTAGACTCAGAGGTTTCTGATGAGGAGTCAAGCGGGTAATTCAAATAATAGAAAGCTAAAAAACAATACATGAGTATGTAGGGTTTTTATAGCTAAATGTCTATCCCTCATACCGAAAGAAGAATAAAAGGAAAGTGGTCTGAGGGGAAAATCAACCAATAAGAAAAAAGGATAACTATCATACGACTTTGAAGATTAATCAGCAGGTGGGAAAATGTACTAATAATGTTGTCGCGCATGTTCAGGAACTGTACCCTCACGATGAGGTATGATCCTGACTAAAGTGTCTATTAGTATCTCCAGGCACTGATGAGGCTTGGAGCTGGTTGGCGAGATATCTACCACCAGCCCTTACCCATTGTGCTGGCTGGCTGGGAGTGATACCCAGTCTCTAATCTGCAATATAAAGTGGTAACAATGGTTGAGAAAGCCTGTGAGGGCTATGAGAAGTAAAATAGCAAATGATACCTCCAGCCCTAGAGCCAGAGGTGTAACGGGAAAGGTGTTTGAAAACCAAGACATAAAGAAAATAATAAATGGTCCTTACATTATGCTCAACTCAAGTTCCAATAAAGTCTTAGGATATTTATATAATCACACTGAGCACTAGGATGTAGCATACCATATATGTCAACTGGTTTAAAGTCTGAGCATAGCCATAAAATGAGGATATCAGGAATGTGCTCAAGTGTTAGCTCTTTGTCTTCACCTGTATTCTGCATACATTGGGTGATGGGCGTGGAATGTGGCTAGAGAGGGAAATTTGGTTGCAAGAGTACATATACATGTGGGTGTTATGGGTGCCAACAAAAGAGACCGACTGTTTCAATGTTGTTTTGGAGTGGATCCATGATAGTTTTTGTGGAGATGTTAAAGAGGAGTGGAAGAAAGGGAGCTCGAAGCAACACACACATATTACATAAGCAAGACCCATGGTGAAGTTACATAATTGGTTACATGACTTGGTTATATGACTCAGGTAACAAGGTCAAGCTCAAGTATTTAAAAGATCTTGTGAAATTGGCAGTATGGCTTGACTTTTACAAAAAAAGACTCCTTTTCACGAGTAGTCAAAATGATACGTTGTAGGATGCAAGCGGATGATGCTACTGATCCCGCTCACTCTCCTGCTCCTGATCCTGCTCTGTCTCTGTCTCCTACTCCTGCTCTTTTGCCTGATCCCGCTCCGTCTGCTGCTCCTGCTCCGTCTCCCAACCAGATGACTGTCATGTACATGGTCAGCAGTAGTAAAACTATGTGAAACTAAGCCGCTGCCCAAGAGGCTATAGAAATGACTATATTATTTACCTATGTGAAACTACAATGGATGTTAGTTTAAGGTGATCTCTAATAAATGTAATGTAACATACCTCAGCCGCTGCCCAAAAGGCTATAGAAACAACTGAGGTATTTCTATACTGAACCCCCTACTACTTATAGTCGGAGGTGCTACTCACTACAGTATAATGACTCCTAGGAGTACAATTGTGCTCCTAGGAGAACAATGGTGACTCCATGGAGAACAATGGCTGCTTTGGCAGAGACCGGGTTTATCCGGTTTTGTCACTCCCACTCAAGTGCAACCGTAGTCCCATAGCTTTAGAGAATTTCCAGTGTTTTTCGTGAGTGAGGGGTTTAGTGAGAATGTCGGCAACCATATCTCCTGTAGGAACATATCTGATTACTGCCTCTCCCTTTGATACTAAGTCATCTTGGATAAAATGATATTTCCGTTGAATGTGTTTTGTGCGAGCATGGAACTGTGGATCTCGTGTAAGAATAATAGCTGCTTGATTGTCACAGTGCAATGTTGTAGGTCCATTTTGAGCACGTCAAATTTCTTCAAAAAATGTCCGAAGCCATGCAAGGTGTTGTCCAGCATTGCTCAATCCAATGTACTCTGACCCCGTGGAGGATAAAGCTACCATGCTTTGTCTTTTGCTTGTCCAGGAGATTGTTCCTTGGATGGTGATAAAAACAAAGCCTGATGTTGATCGAGACGTGTCTGGGTCTCCAGACCAATCTGCATCTGAATATCCATAGAAATCCATGTCCATGGAGACATCTGTGCCATCATATCATAGTTCCATGTCCCTGGTTGCTTTCAGATATTGGAGGACACATTTTGCAGCTTCCTAGTGATGGCTCCTTGGAGCTGAGCTATGTCTGCTTAGTATTCCAACAATGTAGGCAATGTCTAGGTGGGTTCCAAGCATGACATACATGGGGGAGCCTACAATTGAGAGGTATGACACTTGACGCCCTTTAATATGCATCTCGTGTTGCACAATATCTTCCCTTGGAGCGTTTGCGAGGAGTTTTGATCCATGGGCCATTGGTGTCCATACTGGTTTGCAGTTCTTCATTCCAGTACGCTCCAGGACTGTGTCAATGTATTGGCATTGCAATAGGGATATTGTTTTGTTTGAACGATCACGTTGGATTTCTATTCCGAGGATGTATTTTGCTTTTCCAAGGTCCCGCATTTTGAATATGTATTCGAGTTTGGCTTTTGTGATATCCATGAATTTTCGGGATGAAGCTCCTAAGAGGAGATCATCTACATAGACAACAACAAAGCATATTTGTTTGTTGTCCCGGAATACATAGAGACATGTTTCTGCATTTAGTCTTGTGAAACTGAGCTCCTGGAGCTTGTGATCAAAAGTTTTGTTCCATGTACGACCAGCTTGTTTTAACCCGTAGATGGATTTCTTCAATCTCCAGCAGTATCCAGGTTGGATAGGAACACCCCCTGGAGGAAGTATATACAGTTCTTCCTCAAGTTCTCCATTGAGATAAGCTGTGGATATGTCCATTTGATCAAGTTCTAGGTCGTACTTTGCTGCCAGGGCTAGAATAATTTGGATCAACTCTAAGTTTGCAACCAGAGCAAAAACCTCCTGGTAATCAATCCCCTCCCTTTGAGTAAAACCTTGTGCAACAATCCGGAGTTTGTATCTCTCAATGTTTCCGTTTTGATCAAACTTAATCCGGAACACAGGTTTTGATGTGATGGGTTTCACTCCCTTCGGAAGTGGAACAGTGTCATATACTGCATTGGTATTGAGACTTAGGAGTTCCTCCTCCAAGGCAGACTTCCATAATTCTCTATCCGGACATGATAAGGCTTCCTTTAGTGTCCTTGGAAGGTCTGTGTTAGATGGACCGGTACTTGCTATTCCAGCAAAGAATGTCTCCTCTGTATCAGATGTTTCTTCATGAACCTCAGGAGTGTTAGCTTTCTCCATGGAGTTGTCATGCTGCTCTTTTTGAGACTGTTCCTCATCTAAAGTCCTTTGATAATCTCGGTTTTTGTCCACAGGACGGGTCTGGTGACTGCTTCTGCGTACTCCTAGGACTTCAGCAGGCATGACTGCTCTTTTAGGAACTTGTGCAGGTACTCCAGGGAGTAGACGCATTTGTGTGTGTGTTGCCCCACTCACTCTTGAAGGTGTTGTATGCCTTCCAGAAGCTGATCCAATGGACAGGCTGTCTAGCTGTATTCAGACTTTTTCCACATCAGCTGGCTGTATGTTGAGGGGCTGTCCTCCCACTGACTGTGACTCTACTTTGGGTTTCCGTTCTGAAGATGGCCAGTGTTCAGGTCTTGGTTGTAGAAACTGTTGTGGAGGGTGTCTTAGTTGATCAGGTGCTCCCACTGCTCTCAGAACGTCTTCACAGAGGTATTGCCCCACTGCTCTCGGAACATCTTCATGCTGATATGGTTTTATTGCTTGTGGAACATCTCCTTGGAGATGTGGTTCCATTTGCAATTCATTTGGATCTCGGATCCGAGGGTCAGGATCATCCTCCTCCAATGTATTTTGGTCTGGATGGTGAGCATTCTCTGGAATGAGTCCCTCCCACTGATCTGTGCTAGTGTCTGTGTTCCAGGGAGCAGTGTCGTCCTTTTGTACCTTTCCGGATTCATTGAATATGACATGCCAACTGGAAAACACAGTTCGTTTTTCAGTGTCTAGGAGTTTGTAGGCTTGCATTCCATGTGTGTAGCCAATCATTATGGCTTTGCGCCCCTTGGAGTAAAACTTCCCTTGCCTTTTGTCTTTCGGAATCAAGGCATATGCTTGGCATTTGAAAGGGCGAAATAAAGTTGGATCAACTCTCCTTTTAAACAGTATTTCATATGGGGTCTTTTCATGGAGTCCTGATGCTAAGCTGCGTTGTCATGCACCAAAGTTGATTGGTAGCATGGACAGGTGTCAATAACGAAGCAAATATTCAAAAAGACTCGCCTTTGCGCCACACAGGCACAGTGCCACGTGGAATAGTAATTAATATTGCCTTTTTTGAACTTGTGGCTGATCAGCACCACCTCTATTAGGCAATCCAGTTACGCTCACCTTTGCTTTTCCATTTGGTACTTTCGGCATTTCAGCATTTCGGCAAATTTTTGCATTGCCACTGGCTACACATTGCATTGCGCCCTCGCTTTTGTTGTTTCCTTCACTTCCCTTCCTTTGCCTAGCCCCACCATGGGTCCCTTACTCTCGTTTTTATTCTCACCCAACGGTTGTTTCTGGATCCCCATTTTAGTTCACCTCCTTGTCACCTCCAGCCTCCTCCTCCTCATCTTCTTTGCTCCCCCACCATTTCTGATGTCACCACTTCCTATCCGCTTCCGTTGCCAATCCGTCGACTACCACATGCCACTGCTGATATCAGCAAAGCCCCGGCGGCCGGTTCAAATAGGGCAACAGGTACATCTTTATGACATTGATCTACCATCATATACTATCAAAACATCGGTCGCTCGTCTTGCCTGGTTGGAGCGTGGGTGGGTAGTTTTTGAGCTGGAGGAGGTTCATCCCCTTGCATTGCCCATGTTCATTGCTGTCCCATTCACTTGGGTACACTTATCTTTTGTCCATTGTCTTTGCTACAGCTACACCTACCACACGCTGCCTGGGACTCACTCGTTCCAAATTGGGACTACTCCTCTCCCTCCCTCGTTTGACCAGGTGGTCCAACACAACCAGTCTATTGGTAAGGCCATGGAACTGTCGGATTTGGACTAGGTGGTGGACCAGTGGCTCCAGTTTCTTTTTTTTCAGCAGAACAGTGCAATTATTTTTGATTTTTGAATTATCTTTATGGACACATTTTTTTAGAATGCCTGACTGACAATAAAGAAACTGTGTTGATACTGATAGTGTTTTGTCTTGCCCTGTTTTTTACTGCATCTTCCCATGACATCATGATTTTCCTGCTCTCTTTTTGCTATTGGACTTTACTTTATGGCTATACAAACCTGTGACATTACTCACAGCATTCATTGTTCTATCCCTTTCTTTTCCTTTTTTTGACAATCTTATCCTGTACTACCTATGCAGGATTTGTCAGTGTACATTCCTTCCTTCATGTTTGTTCTCATTCTTTTTGCACAGCTATACTGTGCATAGCCTACTTTTCTTTTACTATATAAACCCCTGTGTTTTACCTTGTAAAAACAACAAGAACTTGAATCCAGACTTCTTCTCTAATCTCAAGTTCACTACTCACTACTACTTGTGATCCAGTGTGGTCACAACACTTCCCACTGCTACCACTGTCAACTACTGTCATTGTCACTCGTCACTTTTGAAAAGTGATTGTCATCCATCCCTTTCGATTAGAGTCCTTCTGAGCACTACAGCCTGTGCGTCAGGAGCCTGCTATCACTGGGAACTTTGTCACCTTGTCACATTGTCATTCTCAAACCTACCTTGTGCTACTATTAGCAAGGTAGTGCTCTTCTATACTTGCCACAAAGCCCCTATCTTTCTATATTCCAACTATCCCTCCTCCTCAAAACCCACACCCATACATCTCTGGGTTTTACTTTGAAGGATTGTTATACGTACCACCCCACGAACAACCAGACCATTCCACTGTTCTAGGAGGCAAAGCCCATAAACAAGTTCTGTGGAATCTGGGAGGATTGTGTGCTAGTTTGTTTTGTGTGTGTTTTTTTTCTAACAACAGTTGTCATCATTGACAGCGTGCTGTGATATATGCAGCTGTTTGCATGGCATCTACCCAAAATGACTTTGGGAGCTTGGAATCATGGAGCATAGTGGTTGCTAATGTAGCCAATGTCTGATTCATGCGTTCTGCAATGCCATTTTGTTCCGGAGTATCTGCAGCTGTAGTTTCTTGGATGACACCATCTCCTCGGAGTTGATTTTTGAATGCATTGCCAGTATATTCTCCTCCCCCATCGCTCCGGAGGAATTCTGTGTATAGTGGAGTGAAGTTTTC